CGGCGCATGAAGCTTCTCCCCCGTGTTTGCCTCTAGGGGTTGGTGGTTTCGGGCCTTACGTGGAGGTCTCTGACCCACGCTTCTGTGCCTGGTGGATGCATTTCCGAACAGCGTCTTCAGACCAGCAGCAGTTGGGGACTCTGACGAAGTTTATTTGATCATTTCAAGTTTCATGGTTCATGCCTTGTTCCCTTAATTAAGAAACGTTGCCTAACCCCGGGTCACAAAGAAACCCTTCAGTGTTCTCTCCTGTGTTTGGTAGTTCTAGCTTTTATGTTTGAGCTTAGGACCCATATCAGATCCACTTCTCTGTCTGGGGAGAGAGGGGGCAAGCTGCTTTTCCCCACGTGAGCTTCTGCTCCGAGAGCTGAGGACTCCCCGTCCTGCCGCATGCTGTGGGCGCGGGGCCACACACCCATCAGACCCCCCGGGGAATGACAGACGTCCCCTCTGGCTGCCGGGGGCTGCTGGAAGACGGCCCATTTCTGGGGATGTTGGCCACCCCAGCCGCGATCACGCCATGCTCTAGGGGATGGTGCGTCCAGTGACTGGACCACACAGGGCTCGAAGGTTCCTTTGCTCTGACTGGAAGGCTCCGAAGGTCGTCCCCGAAGCTCCAGGGCTGGATGAGATATTCTGGGGGGAGACTGCAAGCCACCCTCCTCCCACCCCTAGGGGCCTGCCCCCAGAGGCACTTCTTATGGACGGGCCATCCACTGCCTGCTCACAGGCCGCCGTAGGGGAGACCTGGCTCCCGACAGGTGTCACATGTCAACTGGCCAGTGCCTGAGGCTTTGCCTCTGGGTCCTGTCCTGTCGCAGCGATCTGTCTGGGGGCTCTACCGCAGCTTACCCGTGACCAGGCTTCGGACCTGAGTGTGTAGAGCACAGGGGTGTGGGCTTCCACTGCAGGGGGCTCGACTCATGGGGGAGGAGGGGGAGAACTGGCTCATTGTTTTTAGAGCCACACGTGTCACACACGTGTCCACGTGGGCTCGGTCTTGGTGCTGCATGGGCCGCTGACCTGCCGGAGAGGCAGGACGTGCGTGTGTGGGAACACCCCCCAACACGGGTTTGCTGAGGGCCCGCCTTCTGCAGAGACGAGCCGTTCAGGACACGCGTGGCACCGAAGGACCCTCCTGACCCTGTGGGGTGGCCTGGCAGCCCAGCCGGCTGGGGAGGAGTGTGGGCACAACTCGCACCCAGACTCCTCCTGCCTCTCCCCTCCTCGCCGCTGCCCTTCTCGGCTGAGGCAGCAGACTGAGGTCATGGGGGCCACTCCCCACCTGCCCTCGACTGGTGCCTTCTCCCACCAGTGAATTCGGGGTTTGGGGTGGGGGCGGGTGCGCAGGTCTTCAGGGCCACAGAGGCCATGGGGGCCCAGCTAGGTCTCCGAGTCATGCTGAGTTTGGGGCAGGGCCTAGACCTTTGCCCCCAGGACATGGCCCTCCGTCCCTTGCGCCTCATTCCCTGCCAGCGTCCCATCGCACTGCCAGTCTTGCCGTCCGCCGAAGCCTGGGCCAGGCCTGCTTCCTTCCCTACAGTGGTGGCCGCAGCGTGCGGGGTGTCCCTGGCTGTCCTCAGGGCCCTCACTGGGCTGGCGGAGGCCTCCTCAGGTGCCTCCCCGTGGGGCATGGGCGGCAGCAGTGTCCAGGTGCCCGATGCCCTCCACATTAGCAATACTGGCCCTGGGGACTTGGGGGGCATCCTCTGCGACCTGCCACCATCAGCAGGACCTGCCTGGTGGTGCCCAGGGTGCTGTGGGCAAGTGTGCCTGCTGGGCCCTCTGGACCTCGCTTGTCTGGAGCTGCTGGCGCTCTGGCTGCTGCTCAGACCTCCGAGGCCTCCAAGCTCAAGGGGGAGGTGGTGCCTGGGGAGCCAAAGCCTGGCCCCACGAGGGGCTTGAGGGCACAGACTGGGTAGGAGGGGTTCCCTTGGACCCGTAGTTGGCCCGTTACCCGCAGCATGACCACCAGGGTCCCTGCTCACCGCTCCTTTCCTGGCCTCCTGCCAAAGTGCGCGGCATCACCGTTCCCATAAAAATTTATTTACAACCTGGGGGCCACATTTGGCCCTGAGTGCAGGCTGCCGGCCACCGCTCTAGCCCAGGCTTCTCCAGCTCGTGTTTGCATTGGAACCTCTGGAGGGGGTACGTGCAGCGTGGACCCCTCAGGTCCCCCAACTTTCTGGGTCAGGAGGCCTGGGGAGGGGGCTCAGGGGAGGCGTCTCCCACAGGCTCCAGGTGCGGCTGCTGGATGGGTGCTGCATTTCTGAGAACCAAGCCCTGGAAGAGGAGCACGACCAGTGGCGCACAGAGCGCGAGGCTGACGGGGCTGCTTGGCCGGGCATGCCGCCGCCATGGGGCAGCTTCAGGTCCCGCTCTGGGGGGGACTCTGACTGGAGCACCCCTGCTCTGTGTGGAGGGAGTGGTGCCAGCAAGGGTGTGCATGGGATGTGAGGAAAAGCGTGTGTTCCAGGGACCCCCGGGGCAGAAGCATTGGCCCTCTGAGCAGCTTGAGAGATAAGAGACAAGTGGGCAGCGACCCTGGGGAGGACCGATGGGCCGTCCAGGTCCTCCAGACTCAGCTTCCAGTCTCGACACCACGGTGAGGCTGTCCCCGTAGAGGAAATGGGGAATCCTGGAATAGCCCCCCCCCACAGGAGGGGGCCACAGACATCACCCCAACCCAGAGTCAGGGAGGCAGTTCCTGCGGGAGACGTGGGGCCTCCAGCGGTGGGGAGCTCAGTGGCCCATCGAAGCAGCCCTCCAGTGGGCGTCTGTCCCCTCTGTTCCATGCTGGGGTTCCTGCGACCCAGAGCCCCCACTCACTCAGTGCGGTCAGGGCCTGCACGGCCGACACTCCCGCCCTGGGCCTCGGTGTACATCTTCCCCGCCTTCACCGCTGGCTCTCCTGGCTTCTCCCCTTTTCCTGGCCTCGAGCTGGAAAGCTGGCACACGCTGGGCCTCCATGTCCCGTCTTCTGCTCCTTGGCAACCTTGTCAGGCTCCCCGCGCTGTCCCCATGTTGGTGACTCCAGAAGGTACAACTTTCGTTTCCTCTGGGTCGCCCAGGCGCCGGGTCAGACACAAGGCACCCGGCACAGCTCGCCGCCTCCTGGCCCCTCCACATTCCTCCTGCCCCAGGTTTGCTTGACCGGGTCAAGAACTCGGTCCCCATTTAGTGCGAAGCTCTGGCCAAAACCTGAGCTGTGCTTTCTGGTCTCTGTGTCACAGCCAAGCGTCCCAGTGTGCTCCCAGTATGACTTCACTCCTCCCCAGCCACTGGCCCCCGGCCGCTTGGCCTCCTGATGGCCCTTACGACCCCTCGCCTGCCTCTCTCCACTCAGCAGAGTTTAAGACAAACCCGCGCAGGCCCGGACTGGGTTTAAATCCCAAATCCTTCCCTGGGCCTGACCCCCTTGGCGAGTGCTCCCTCCCTCAGACGGCCCTCCCTTGCCCTCCTGGGCAGGGTGCAGACTCCCCGGGCTCCTTGCTGCCTGGGACCCGGCCCCCGTGTCAGCTCATCAGAGAGATGGTCCCTTGCCACCCTGCCCAGAACAGTACCTTCCGTCACTCAGTTTTCTTATTTCTCCTCACAGCACTGGTCACCAGGAGATGCTAGGGGGACGGGGAGCGTCTCCTGCTGCCCCTGCACTGGGAAGGGAGCTCCAGGAGGACCGGGTCCCCAGTGCCTGTAGAGGCCCACAGCGGGCCCTGGTATGTACACAAAAATGGTTCACGGGGCGCGTTGCTGGCTCAGTTGGTTAAGTACCTCTTGATTTCGGCTCAGGTAGTGATCTCGGAGGAGGCCTGCCCGGCCCCAAACTCCCGGTTCCCAGGACATTTTAGGGTGCTGGTGGGCGGGGTAAGGGGTGGCTTCCTGAAAGGGTGACCGGGGAGCTCCCTCCCCCAACAGCGAAGGGCCCCGGCAGGTGTCAGGACCGCTCAGAGCCGCCCAAGAACAAGCACCTTTACAGACCCGAACAGTGATGCGAACCAGCAACGGAGGGAACCAGGTTTTGCCGGTGGGGGCTGAACTGTGTCCCTCCCACATTCACATGGTGAGCCCTGACCCCGAGCCCCTCTGAAGGGGACTGTATTCAGAGACAGGCCTTTAAGGAGGGAATGAGGGTAAAAGGAGGACCTTCGGTCGGAGCCCAGGGTGGCCGGTGTCCTTGTAACAAGAGGTCTGGACCCTGGAATCCGGCAGAGGGACACCTTGGTCTCGGACTTTGGCTTCGAGGACGGCGGGACCGTTTCTGCCCTTGACACCGCCAGCCAGAGCAGAGGACAGTTCCCCGGCTGGTGTCGGGACAGGAATCACTTCTGCATCGTGGGCAGTTATCAAAGTAGCTTCCCTGGAATGCACATGGGGTAGGCGGAGGGCAGCGCGTGGAGACAGTGCTGTCCCCCTCCCCCAAGCCTGCAGCGGAGGTCCGAATGCGGGCCTCGGGGATCCAGCCTCCGGATGAACCTGCTCTGGAACCGAAACCGAACCCTAACCCGAGGCTCCGGTGCCCTGCAGGGCTGCGTGCGGGGGCGGAGGGGCGGGCCTCTAGCCCTGGAGGGGTCCCCTCCCGTCCTCCTCCTGGACCTGTGTGCGTGGGCAGTGGGGGTCTCTGCCTGTACCCCACCCCCAGGAGTGCAGTGCAGGTGTGGTCACGGCACCGGCCTCTGCGGGCGCCGCCTGGGTTGGGGGCGGCCCTCACTCTGCGCTGGGGGTCCTCCAGGCCAACCGTAAGGCGCTGGCTTGTGTCTCACAGGCCCCAGCCACTCCAGCACCGGGGGCCACTGCACGGGTCGGCAGTCGGAGGGCCCAAGACCGCGCAGGCCCCGCCCCTAGCCCCGCCCCATCAAGCCCCGCACCCGCCCCCAGACAGCCCCCGCCTGCCCGCCGGCCAGCAGCTCCCCCGCCCCAGCTCTCTGCGCCTTCCGGCCACAAGCACTGCCCCAGGCAGGTGGACGCCCGCCCCTCCCCGGGCTGCCCTCGGCACCCCGCCACCTCCCCTTCGTCCCCTCGGTCTCGGTCCCGGTCCCGTCGGTCCTTTGGTCCCGAGGTCCGCATGGCGCGCGCGCTGGAGCCCCAGCGGCGGCTCCTGGCCGTCTACACCGGCGGCACGATCGGCATGCGGAGCGAGCAGGGCGGTGAGTTGGAGGCCTGGGGTGGGGATGGGGTCGTTCTCACGCCCAGTGACCTTTCTCAGGCCAGGGCCGGGCACTGGGGGCCCTCTGGGGCGCTCTCAGTTCCCCTCCCCTCAGCTGCGGCTGGAACCCTCAGCACAGAGGTGTGCCCCCCAGACCCGGAGCGCCCTGCGCTTCTGTCCCACCGCCTCCCGCGTTCCCCGTGGGCAGGGCGGTGGGCAGGTGTGTCGCTGCCGTCCAGGCCTTCCTCTCCGGCGATAGAGGCAGTGACCCCACGCCTCGCCTTCCCCAAGGAGGGCTCCTGACAGCAGTGGGCACACACTTCAGGGGAGTGGTCAGGGGCGGCAGGGGGCTTTGGGGAGCTGCACATCTTGTCTTTGCCTCTGTGGCGGTGGCTGCTGCTGGGGGGTTAGGGCCCGGGTGGGGGTGCTGGAGCTCGCAGGCCACCCCAGGCCAGGATGCCCTCAGTGGGGGCCAAGCACCTACAGCGAGGTCCCCCACGGCCCAGAAAGAGGAAGGCTGTCCACCAGCATCCAGAACATTCTGGCATTCCTGGGAGAGGGGGAGACAGTTCCCCGATGTCCAGGCAGGCCAGGATGAAACCTCAGCCTTGGGAGTGGTGACTCCGACACCACTGGCTCTTCCTGGTGGCCCCGGCCCATGCAGAGCCCCAGGACTCAGGCCTGTGTAGAGAGAGCCCTGTCCTGGAGGGGCTTGGGCCCAGGGACCTGGTTGTCCACCCGGCCCGCCCGCCTGCGGCTGCTGTGCCCTCTGCCTCTCCAGCCCGGTTAGCTGGTGGGTGACCTGAAGCCTGGAGGCCCCGGCGGACACCACCGTGCAGGGGGCTGCTGTGGTCACTTGCCACCCCACCCCCCCAGGCCAGAGAGGGGCGGACACTGAACCAGTGGCAGAATGTGAGGAAGGTCACGAAGGCCGTGTGCCGGGAACACGTAGGGCTGTGGGCACCCGTCGGGCAGGACCCTGTGTCTGGCTCCCTGCTTCCCTGGAGGGCACGGGGTTGGGGGCTTCCCGGGAGGTGGGAGAGCGCCGGCAGGGCTGGGAGGAAGGAGACGGGGCCCAGAGTGGGTAGCTGCCCTGCACCCACCCCCCATGCTGCTCCCCCAGGCTTGGCATGGGGCCGCCTGCAATTCTGTTGCGCTCCACACGCAGTTCCCAGGGTCTGGGCTGCAGGGACGGGTGGACTCCGACCCCCTCCCACCAGCTGTGCCTGCCTCCCCTGCTTCTCCCGGGCGGCCTTGCGGTCAGAGAGGCTGCAAACTCACCTGTTCAGAAGGTGAATTAGAGACCCTGACTCAGGAAAGACAGCCTGGGGGTGGGGGTCGTCTTCCCTACAGGGAGGAATCTTCCAGAATCCCTTAGAGCCTGCCCTGGGCCTGGGGCCGTCTGGCCTGGTGAAGGTGAGGCCACCAAGCACCTTCTTGTGTCCAGAGCGGCCAGCCTGTCCCAGCCGGCAATGATGCTGGTCTTCAGAGCTCTGGCCAAGCTGCTGCCTACGGGGCAGGTGGCCTCCAGTCCAGGGCAGGGGTGCCTCGTCCTCTGCGAGCCACAGCGGCCTCTCTCCGCTGCTGGCTGAGGGCTTTGCCTTCACGTGGCCCACTTCGTCCCCAGCCCCACGGCAGCTGCCAGTCCTCCCCCTTCAGGAATGCTTCAGGGAGCCCGTGACTTACGGGCCAGAGGACAAAGGAGGAAGAGGTGTGGGATCTGGTCCCTGCTGTCCCTCTAGCGTCATGCAACCCCTGACCCCCGGCTCCTGAGACCAGGGAGGGTCCTGGGCCTGCTCTAGTGCGTGACTGGCTCTCCGTGTTCTTGAGGGACACACATCTCCCGCTGGCTTTTTTGGCTAAAAATGTTGTAGAATGAAAAGGTGTCTGGGGACCAGGGCTGCACCCCAGGCCAGGGCAAGAGCAGGATGAGGGCGGGTGGAGGAGCCGAGCTCCTGGCGGCTCCAAGCCCTGCCCGGGTCGTTGAACTCAGGACTCCGGGCCTTTCCCTAGAGTTCTGATGGGAACCGCATCAATGATTAACTCGCCCTGCACTGCGGACGGGGCTCCAGCGGCGCGAGGGTGGCGAGAGGCGGTGAGGGCGCAGGCCAGCCACAGCAAATCTGTTGGGATCATCACTGTTTCTGGCCTGCAGGGCACACGGCGCTGTGGGTTGGAGCCTGCCAAAGGTCAGGACGGCCAGCGAAGGGCAGAGGCTGTGGCCACTGGGGACAGCCCTTGACCCGTTCCATCTCTGGGTTCAGGAAAGATGTCACATGGCAAGGGGCATCATGAAAAGAAGCCAGATGATGACCCCGAGCCCAAGGCTGAGCAGCACCTGGGGCCTCCTCCCACACAGCCGGGGAACCCAGGAGCCCCTCCCTGCTTGCCGCCACCGTAGCAGCCCTTGCAGGCACCTGAACACATAGCGCAGGGAGCAGAGCTTTGGGGCCGAGCGTCTGACGGCACCAGGACAGCCTGGCAGATGGAAGGAGTTCCCGCCGCCGACCCTCGTCACCAGATTGCGGCATCTGAGCCCTCGGCCCGGCCCTCCTTCCTGAACACAGTTTCACGGGCTCAAACTCCTGTCTGGAGCCTAAGCCATAGGTGGTTCTAGGGGGATCTGCTGTCCTAGGGTACACATGAGCGGTTTGGTGGGCGCAGAGCTGCATCCCCTTGCCTTTGGGGCCCAAGGACGAGACCACATTCTGGTTTTATAGGCACCTGGTGTGGGGGCCCTCGCTGAGAAAAATAACATGATTTACAAAATCAGAGTTCAATGTGAACGTGAACATTTACTTGGAATGATTAAGGAAATCATAACAAATCACTGGTTTTAAAAAGCCAGGATATCAGAAAACTGTTTTGTTCATTAACTTGCTGATGCTCTCTCACGGCGGCACCCCCATATCTTTGGCTGGGCATTTCCCCATGCTGTTCTAGCGTGACAGCAGCCCCCACCCCGCCACAGGATTGTGCGGCGAGAACAACAGGAGAGCAAGGCCTTTCCTTGGGTCAGTTTCGCCTGTGTTGCCCACATGCTCCCTGGCTGGTGGGACAGCGGGGTCCTGTCCTTTCCGGGGGGCCCTGCAGCCCTGCCCCTCCCCACCTCGCGGAAGCAGGATGTCCCTGGCAGCCACTGCCCCTCCAAGCGTCAGCAGGTGACCACCCACGTCATACGTGTGTCCCATGAAACCCACACCAAGTGCATCCCCACCTCACCTGCCCCGCAATTGGACCCTCAGCTTTGCAGACTGCCCTGTGTCACCTACCACAAGGAGCTGCAGTGGAAAGCGGCCGTGTGAGTTTCCCGGGGTAGTTCCAACAAGTGAGCAGGACGGTGCCTCCCACCCCTGCTCTGGGCAGGCATCTGACCTCGGGCAAGAAGGGTCCGTCCTTCCCGCTTCCTTGGCCGTGGCCGCACCGCTGCAGCATCCGTGCCTCTCCCTGCCTGGTTCCTCCACGGCAGTCGTGCGCTCATGTCCCCTCTGTCTGCTTGGCCCCATTGGCATGATGCTTCTCGCCCACATGGTTTACTTCTGCGGCAAGCGTGAGTGGAGCTCCTGCTGGGGCTGCGTGCGAGGCAAGGGCACGTTGTTCACAGTGCATCCCCACTGGGGTTCCCTCTGCCACAAACATCCCTGAGCAGCTATGGGCCCGGTCTGCCCGTGCTGGCCGGGGGACTGGCAGGAGCTGGGGCCTGGGCGTTAATGGGCGGACGGACACTCCGAGGGGTTTTGGGGCGGGGAAACAGCCCCAGTGAGGTCACAGCCTGGCTGACGCATCACCGTCCACCAGTGTGAGATGAGCACAGATGTGCCTCTTACTTGTTTCAGCTAAGGACGTGTCTCAAGGAGGGGCACCCTGTTGTCCACAGCCAGGCATGTGGGAGACACCCAGAGAAGTTAGCTGACCTGTCCAAGGTCACGGTGCTGGTAGGAAGCAGGCTGGAACAAAAGGCTAGGACCTGGAAGCCTGAGAGCCTCTGCCAAGGCTTGTTTCTAGGAAACACACCTGTAACGTATTCGGGCTCTTCTACGACACAACACCATTTCTGTCCAGTGCTTTAGATGCAGGTTTCTAGGACACTGAGGCTGCAGGCAGAGGACCTGGGCTGTGTGCGTTGTGGAGGGGTTGCACGTGGTCTAGTGAGGGTACAAGGGCAGCTGGGCAGTACGTGGGAGGGGCAGTGGGCCTGGACATCAAGGAGGACTTCCTGGAGGTAGCAACCCGAGCTGGGGCGAAGCACCTGCTGGACTTGAAGGGGGTTGGACCAAGGACTTGCAGACAGAGCCGACAGTATGTCTGTGAGCAGGAGCTGGTGTGGGCCTTCTGGGAAGTGGGGGAAGAACCGGAGGTCCATTGGGCTGCACGGAGAGAAAAGGTGGCAGATGGGGTGACCTGGCCCTGGGTGGAGGGGCCAGAGCCCCTGCAGGGCCCCTGGGGCTATCTCACTGGCTCCACAGGAAACTGTGCGGTCCAGACAGAGCAGTTGCCCATCCTCACCAGGTTCTCCCCCGACAAACCCCAGCCCTGCCCTGGGCCTGGCCCCCAGCATGTCGGGTAGATGTCCCGACGCGGAGGGAGGAACCAGTGACTAGAGGAGTCAGCGGTGACTGCTGGCCCTGACCCACACTGCCCCCAATCCGGCTTTTGCCCATAGTGCTCGTACCTGGGAGTGGCCTGGCCGCAGTCTTGAGGTCACTGCCCATGTTCCATGATGAAGAGTACGCCCGGGCCTGTGGCCTCCCGGAGGACACACTGGTGCTGCCGTGAGTGGGGGCTCCGTGGGGTCCCAGGTGGGGATGACCACCGGCTGTCAGTGGGGTAGAGCTGTGCTGAGACGGCTGCCTGCAGGGCCCACAGGGCTGGCTGTGGTCACTGATGTCCTTTCACACTTTCCTGGCTTTAGAACCGACAAACAGCTCCCTTTCAAGTGAGCCTCGGACTCCCCCACCTCGGGCCCCCAGCCACATGTGGATGCAAGCTCATCAAGAGAGGCGGGGGCTGTCTCCCCTCGTGTAAGGGTCCCCTATCTTTAGCTCTCGGCCAAGGCTGCCTGGTGCCCTTCACAACTGTCAGGCTGAGGGGGGGGTCACCCTCCTGGCCCCCGAGCCCCTCCTACTGGAGGGTCGTCCTCTGGCCCACGGAGGGCGGCCCCAGCCTCCCTCTCAGAGCTGGTTCTGCGAGGGCACAGACCGCCCTGCCCAATCCTTGAACCCTCCTGAGGACCGAGGTCCCTGTTCCTGGGGACTCAGGGGGGAGGCCAGGCCCTGTCCTCCGGATGCCAAGAGACTGGATATGTAGAGCCCACTGAGAAGTCCCTGGTGCAGGGGTCGCTAGGGTGGGGTGGGGGGAGCAGAGCGGGCCAGGGGAGCAGGGGGCAAGCGGGAGTCCTTGTTCTGCCTCCCGCAGGCCCGCCAGCCCCGACCAGAGAGTCATCTACGCGGTGCTGGAGTGCCAGCCCCTCTTTGACTCCAGTGACATGACCATCACTGAGTGGGTTCAGATCGCTCAGACCATCGAGGTAGTTGAGGAGTGTGGTGGTGGCTGGGAGTGTGGGTGGGGCTGAGAGTCTGGGCGTGGCCAGGAGTGTGGGTGGAGCTGAGTATACTGGGCGGGGCTGGATGTGGGAGGGGCTGCGGGTCTGGGCGTGGTTAGGAGTGTGGGTGGAGCTGAGTACTGGGCGGGGCTGGGAGGGTGGGGCTGTGTGTACCGGGGGCTGCGAGTGGGCGTGGCTAGGAGTGTGCGTGGGGCTGTGTGTACTGGGAGGGGCTGAGAGTCTGGGCGTGGCTAGGAGTGTGGGTGGAGCTGAGTGTACTGGGCGGAGGTGGGTATGGGCGGGGCTGGTTGGCTGGGCGTGGCCAGGGCTTCAGAAGCACTCCCCTTGGGGTCTGGGGTGGTGGGGTCTGCTTGCCTGGCCTGAGACTTGGGAGCATCAGTAAATGGCAGTTTTAGGAAAGTGCTGGACCCTCAGGTTACATCTCAGGCCCTTTCCCCTGTGCAAGCAGAGCGTGGGCAGCGAGGGCCATGTCCCCTTTCCCATGGGGAAATGTCCCAGACAGCTGTCCTGGTTAGTATCCCGGGCTGGGATGCTCTCCGCTTCCCTGCAGGTTGACAGGTTCCATGCCCCCCCCGCCCCCCCGTTCACCCCACCCACACCCACCCTGAAGGCAGGGACTTAATGGATCTGGGGCCCATAAAAGGTACAGAACCCTGTGCAGTTCTCGTGGTTTATAGCACCCAGTGTGGACCCCTTACCTGGTGCCAGACCCCCCTCCGTCAGCTTTCCTCTCTGTTCTGCCCAACCTCGTCATTGCCAGCCCCGCTCCTGCTCAGGCCTGGCCTGCTACCCGACTGCCTCCTGCCCCCTCCCACCCCTACTTCGCCCTCCCGCCCTCTCCAGGCCCAGTTCTCACCTGCCTCCCTTAAGAAGCCTTAGAGGCTCATCACGTAGGCTCGTCTTCCCGGCAGCTGGGGGCTGACCCCCGCCCCACACCTGTGTTCTTCTGCCTGCGGGGGCGGGGGAAAGCAGCCTCCGGGCCCATCCCCTCTCACTGTGAGTGGGACAGTGTGTGGCCCTGGGCCTGGTCCTTATGTTCCTGAATGGCCCGCTAGCTGACAGTGGACACGTCTGTGGCCATAGTCTGGGGCAGTCTCCCTGGTGTATGGCCAGCAGCGTCCTCTGGTTGGGGCCTGACCGCTTTGCTGAGCTCCCGGGAGTGCTGTTCTGACGGCAGTGTCCAGCCACCCGCAGACTCAAAGGGTCTTTGGGGCCCTGGTGGCCCCACCTGTGGCAGTGCCCCATGTGGCCAGCAGAGGGTGCCCCAGCCTGCCACACTGCTCTGCAACCGCAGTTAGGGTCAGCCTGGCAAGGTCTTCCAATGGGCCAGGAAGGATGTTCCCCTCAGGTGGGTTTGGCCCCGCTGGTTCCCAGAACTGTGCCCCTTGCATCCACAGCTTGGGCCATCCACCCTCCAAGGCCCAGCCTTGGCTGCCCTCTAGCTGATGGCCAGAGGATGAATTGCAGAGGTGGCCAGCGTGTCTGGGAGGCCTTCTAGGCTTTGCTGTACCTGGAAGGACTCTTCCCCACGTTTGCCCGCCAGTGTCCTGCCCTCTTGTCGGGTCCTGTTGCAGCCAGCCTCGCAGTCACCCGCCAGCTCCCAGCCCCAGCTGTGCCTTGTGCCCTTTTGCCATGTCCTTGCCTGGCCCTCCTGCTGGACTGTGGGCTCACAGCTCACTCGCCCCTGTAGCCGCCTGCCCGGGCAGGGGTCACATGGCACAGGGCTCCCCAGGAGTCCTGAGCTGAGTCCTGGTGTAGCCCTCCAGCTGACCTGTGCTCTTGGGAGCCCTGACTGGCCATCACCTGGGGGAGATGCTGGCTGGAAGTCTAGCGTGGACCCTCCAGAGAATGTCTTCCCTGCCAGTGGTGGCCAAGATCCCACCAGTGCCTCCCTGCCTCCCTCCCTCTGCACCGGGGACCCTTTTCTCTCTTCCTCGGGAGGAGGCCTGCCTGAGTTTGCTGCACCCCGCAGAGACACTACGGGCAGTACGACGGCTTCGTGGTCATTCACGGCACAGACACGATGGCTTTTGCGGCCTCCGTGCTCTCCTTCGTGCTGGAGAACCTGCAGAAAACTGTCATCCTCACGGGCGCCCAGGTAATGGCCCAGGCCTGCTGGTGGGCATGAGGGCCTCCCTGAGGCCACAGGGGGGACCCAGGCCGGACTCCGGGTCTCTTTCTCAGTCCTGCAGCTCCTAGAGGCAGCGCCCATGGGTTGGTGCCGGCTGGCTGAGCTGGGCAGCTCCGTGGGTCCCGCTGGTGCCTGTTCTGCTCTCCCGGGGTGGGTGCGTGGCCTGCTGTCAGCCCTGTCCAGCTGCCGTGACTTTGTGCCTCTCTTCATGCTTCCCACCGATGCCACTGTCGGGGGCTGCGTGAGCCTTAGACCGTCTCTGGCCTCCTCTCCCAGGTGCCCATCCATGCCCTGTGGAACGACGGCCGGGAGAACCTGCTGGGGGCCCTGCTCATGGCGGGCCAGTACGTGATCCCCGAGGTACCCTCCCCCTCCCTGGTGTGGGGGTGGGGGCTCAGCCTCAGGAGTGTAGGGGAGGGGTTGGGGGAGGCTCTTGGGTGGGACTGGCAGGGAGAGAGTCGGGCAGGGTTTAAAGATCTTCCTTCACCTCACACGTGACCTAAGCTGTCATCATAGAGAAACTCCGAAGATAGAAAGAGCAGGAGGGAACAAGACCACCCACGCTTTACTTCCCAGAGGTGCTGCTGTGAACAGAGTGCTGTATTTTCTTCCAGATTATGTATCTTTTTTTTGGTTAAGATTTTATTTATTATTTGAGGGGCGCCTGGGTGGCTCAGTGGGTTAAGCATCTGCCTTTGGCTCAGGTCATGATCCAGGGTCCGGGGGTGGAGCCCCACGTCAGGCTCCCTGCTCGGCGGGGTCTGCTTCTCCTTCTACCTCTGCTGCTCCCTTTGCATGTGTTCCCTCTGAAATAGATAAATAAATAAATAATGTTTTTAAAAGAGATTTCTTTTATTATTTGAGAGAACACGGGCACAAGTGGGGCATGGGGCAGAGGGAGAAGCAGACCCCCCGCTGAGCAGGGAGCCGATGCGGGGCTCGATCCCAGGACCCTGCGACCATGCCCTGAGCCGAAGGCAGAGGCCTCACCGACGGAGCCCCTGGCGCCCCCAGATTATGTCTCTTACACGTGCTCACGCTGTCTGTGTGTGTGCGTGGCTTTTTTATAGAAGTTGGCCGCACTGTCTGGCTGTGCAGCTGGCTTTCCCTGTTCAGCAAACCCCTTCATGGGGGGCCACAGGGGACCTCACAACACCCCCTCACATTGCAGGGGACCCCGTGCTGGGAGGTGGGGAGGCAGTGTCCCCCACGTGTGGGGTGGCTATGCCCCCTGCCCCTCCCCAGGAGGACTGCTCTAGAGAGACTAGAAGACGGGGGTGGGCAGCTCCAGAGCCCCACCACCCAAGCTCCGGAGCAGGGCCTGCTGGGACCCTGCTGCTCCGGGGAGAGGCCTCTCTCCGCACCCTTGGGCTGAGTTCACAGGGGCTCCCTGGGAAGCAGCGGTGGGGGCAGTGGGCAAGTGGGAAGGGGAGGGTGGCGGGGCCCTCGAACGTCCGGCCCCCTGCCCCACTGCGGGGTAGGGGTGCGGGGGGTAGGCCTCTGCTGGGGCAGCCCTCTGGCATTTGCAGGGAGCGCCTGCCGAGATGGCAGGGGGCAGGCTGGAGGGCACAGGGGCTCCCCAGGGCTGAGCCACGGCCTCTCCCCTCCCCTGCAGGTTTGTCTCTTCTTCCAGAATCAGCTGTTTCGGGGCAACCGAGTGACCAAGGTGGACTCACGCAGGTTCGCGGCCTTCTGCTCCCCGCACCTGCCCCCTCTGGCCGTCATGGGCACCGATGTCACAAGTAAGCTGGGCAGGGAGCAGGGCCAGTGGACGAGGGCTCCTGGCCTAGGATTTCTGCGGGGAGCAGGGCTGGGAACCTGTGTCTGGGGCTGAGGAGGACCCCCCTGAACCGGGGGCGAGGACAGTGCTCTGTTCTGCCCTGGGAGGCGAAGTCGGGGGCTGCTCCGAGACGGCGGCCTGCGTGGGCCACCAAGGTGGGGTGTCCAAGCAGGTAGCCCCAGCTCAGGGCCTGGGGAATGGCCAGGGCTCCAGAGGCCAGGCGGGGCCCCACCTGCTTGCGGAGGGCGCCCTGAGGAGAGGGCGTGGGTGTGAGGGGGGCACCAGATTGCCTTCCTTTCTGTGGAGGTGGGGTGGTACTGAGCCCCTCCAGCCCTGGTGAGGAAGGAAGGGATGGGTGCCTGCTCTGCCAGCCTGGCTCCCTGGGGGGCTCAGGAGCGGAACTTTTGGGGATGCCGCGGCTGGCAGGCGGGGAGCAGCTCCCTGGGGAGGGCAGGGCTCTGTCTGGGCCCCGGGCAGACCACAGGGCATGGGCCGCACTGAGGCAGGCCCTGAGGGAGGAGGCCTTGGGGTGGGGGGCACCGAGGAGGGCGGGGAGGGGGGACAATGCCTGGGCTCAGAGGGGCTCCCCGTGCCCCACTCTTCTGCCGGGGGTGGCCGAGGAGGACCCCGCCCATCCGGCCAGCCGAGCCATCCTCTTCTTAGTCATTACTTCTCATTACTTCTTTCTGCGAGGCCGTCGTAGACAGGGGCTTGGGGGGTCAGAGGCGCTGGAGGGACACACAGAGCCCGGGGGCCTTCTGTGCGGAGGACAGCTCGGTCTCCCACACTGAGTGTTGGGGTGGGGGGTCTGCACAGGGAGCCAGCTCGGTGCACCCCATGCTGCCATTCCTCCTCTCATCTCGGCCCCCGGAGGGATGGACTGGGGGCTCCATGGGCTCTCAGGCACATGGTCCAAGCCCGCAGGGAGGAGAGCGTGGGCTCTCTTTGTGTCTGTGAAACCCCCTGCAGTCATAATTCCTGCGTGCTGGCAGCACGCCCCCCAGGCCCGGCTTATCTGCATGCCCAGATGGGGCACACGGCCCTAAATTTAAGGACGCCCCTCACTGCTGATGGATGCCGTGGGCCCCCTCCTGCCACCCATCCCCCCAAGTCCCCTTGGATACAGTGTGAGAGGGCAGCATGTGTCTGGAACGTTCCCTGGCTTATTATCACACATGAATGGCTCTGGTAGCAACAGCAGGAGGTCTGTAGCCTTACACCCCCCTGGGGCTGGGGTGGGGAGGAGCCCTGGGCCAGGGGCTCCTGGAGACGCCTCTCCCCACCAGTCTGGTCCTGGCTCTACACACGGGTGGTAGCCTCGGTGGCCCTTCCCCATTCTGGGCCTGCATTTCCCCATGCTGGACATGGTAGCTGCTACCTCGGACAGACTACAGCGGTTAGGGCCCGCAGGGCCATCAGTGCCCGGCTTCTGCCCCATCAGGGCTGGCTTGTGCCCAGGATTGAGAGAGTGGGGTCCTGGGCTGGGCCTGGGGCTCCTGAGGGCTGGGAGGATGCAGGAAGTTGGGGAGGGCTCAGCTGGCTGTGTCCTGGTGGAGCAGTGACCTTCTGACTCCTGGGGATACTGGCTTTCTGGGGGGCCAGTGGGTGGAAGTGCACGGACCCCTCACTTTCCAGAGTCTGGGGGGTTGGCCTTCAAGACTTCGGGGTGCACCAGAGGGAGGCTTTCTTCCCCCAGAGCTGACGCGTCCTTTCTTCATTCACTCACTCATTCTTTGACTTGCTGGGCTGTGGGCGAGGTGGGTGCGTGGTCCTGGGCAGGAGAGGCTGGGTGGTCTGACCTCTCCCGGGACCACGGACGACACGCCCCGTGGGGTTTGGCCGCCGTGCTTCCAAGCCCGCGTGCACGCTGTTCCTGGTCCTGGAGCGCCTCTCCCCCTTCCCTGCACAATTCCAGTCAGGCTGCGAGACCCAGGCGCCTCCGTCCCTCTGGGGTCCTCCTTGCCCCCCAGGCTCCGTGCACAGGCTGGAGCTGCACCCCGCCCAGGACTGAGCGGACGGTGGGCAGGGTGTGCATCGGGAGCGGGGCTGGAAGAGCCTGGCCAAGGGTCCTGGCTGGCCAGTGGCCTACACGTCCCCCACGTGCACCTCTGCCCCCACAGTCAACCGGGAGCTCGTGCGGAAGGCCCGAGGGAAGGCCCAGCTGGTGGTGCACAGCAGCATGGAACGGGACGTGGGCCTGCTGCGCCTCTACCCCGGGATCCCCGCAGCCTTGGTAGGGACCCGCCCCGGCACCACACACCCTTTCGTGGCTCCCTGTTACCTTCCCATCCCATCCCATCCCCTGCACTGCCCCTTCTCGTTGCCCAGGAGTGGCTGCGGTCGAGGGCGGGGATGTGGGTGCCCCCTTCAGGTAGCTGGGGCCACAGACGCTAGCCAGGGGTGGTGTGACGGGCCGGGCACCGTGGCCCTTCTTCCTTGTGGACAGGGGTGGCTTCATGGGGATGTCCCCACACGTAGGGTGGGACTTGGCACAGGCTGCCCTGAGCTCTGGGTCACAGTCTGTGAACTGGGACCCGATCCCCTCCAGGGCACTAGGGACAGGTGGGGTGGTCTTTTCCCTGTGGGTCCCTGTGCTTGTCTCAGTCTGGGCCCAGGATGGGCTTTCCTCCCTGTGGTGCGTGAGATGGACGCTGCGCTGCAGAAGGCCAGGTAGGAAAGACGGGCCTTAGAGTTCTAGTGAACAGTCATGGCCTTTCCAGAGACTGGGCCTGAGGTCAGGCCAGATGGCGCTCCTGTGAGCCTGGACAGGGCCACAAGCACTAGGCCCGCAGGCTGCCTGTCCCCCACGCCCCTTGACACCACCCCTGCTTGTCCTCTGGGCTCTGAGTCCCTCATAGGCTGAGGGTCTGTGATGGCCTTTCCTCCCCGGGCCCCTCTGAAGGCAGAGACCCTCAGAGTCGGAGGCCTTCTGGGGGCTCTGGGGCCAGACTGCGTGGCCTCCCTAAGTCAGGCAGCCTCTAGATGCCAGTGCAGGGGCGGGAGCCCCCGGGATTTCGAGGGAGACCTGCTTCGGGAAGGGCTGGTCTGGCCCTGTCGTCTGTCTTCTGAGTGGAGCCTTGGCACAGGGCAGGAGATGGGGGCAGTGCCCCTGGCTGACTTGGAACCTGCGTGTGTGTTGGGCACTTTCTCCAAATCCTGCCAAGCCGGGGGCATCCCCTGCTGTGTTTCAGACAGGGCAGGGCGAAGGGGCTGGAGTGAGGGCCATGGGGCTGGGAGCTGTGTGGGGGGGACATTCTGATCGTGGTCACATCGGCCACGGCCTTCAAGCCTTAGGAGGGGAGCAGGTATCTCCTGACAGGTGAGGCGGGAGCAGACCCTCAGGACTCTCTGTGTGGCCCGCTGGGGGTCGGGACTGCGAGACCAGGCTGCTTCTGCCCCCTAGTGATGGTGTAGGACAAGCCTGGGGTTCCCACTGCTGGAGCAGGAGGCCAAGGCCCGCCTTACCCGCCTCCCGGCCCTGCAGGTCCGGGCCTTCCTGCAGCCCCCCCTGAAGGGCGTGGTCATGGAGACCTTCGGCTCGGGGAACGGGCCCACCAAGCCGGACCTGCTGCGGGAGCTCCGGGCTGCGGCCGAGCGGGGTCTCATCATCCTCAACTGTTCCCACTGCCTGCAGGGGGCCGTGACCTCTGACTACGCGGCTGGCATGGTGGGGGCAGGGAGCCGGCAGCTGGAGGGGGAGGGCCCGGGCCCTGTGACCCTGCACCCCATTTCCCGCTCGCGCCCCTTTCCCCACAGGCCATGGCGGGAGCCGGCATTGTCTCTGGCTTCGACATGACGTCAGAGGCCGCCCTGGCCAAGCTCTCCTATGTGCTGGGCCAGCCTGGGCTGACCCTGGACGACAGGAAAGAGGTGCCCCTCGGGCTGTCGGTGTGGGGGCAGGGGTCACAGGGCTCCCAAGAGCATGGTGAGGGTGCGACTGGGGCAGATGGTGGGGCCCAGCCCAGCAGGGTGTGTGCCTGGCTTGGAAAGGAAGAAAGGGCCTCCCCGTTGGGGGAAAGCACCAGCTCTGAGACCTGGGCACCCACCACCCCTTGCTAACCCCAAGCTCAGACCACCTGCTCTTCCGCTGTCTCGGGGAGCCGTGGTCTGGCACTGCTCAGGATGGCTCCTCATCCCCCAGCCTTCCTTGGGGCGACCTCAGAGGCAGCCAGTCTTGCCAGAGGCCACAGGGTCCTTGGGAGAGGTGGGGTGGGGCAGTGGAGGGTGTGGTGGGCCTTCAGGCACTTGGCTGGGGTCAAGCCTGGGCCTGGGGGATGGGGACTGAGCTGAGGGGTTTTGGGCCCAGGGCGATCCTCATCGCCTGCCCTGGGGGTGCCTGGTCCTAGGGGCTGGTCGGGGGGCTCCTGGGCTCCAAGCGTCCCCGGCTTGCTGTGTTCTCCGTCCCCAGCTGCTGGCCAGGGACCTTCGGGGCGAGATGACACTGCCCACGGGGGCGGAGCAGCGGCCCTCACTGAGTAGCAGCGCGCTGGGCCGGGGGGCTGCCCAGCTCCTCACTCTCAGCCAGGTACCGCCCAGTGTGTGTGGGCCAAGTGCACGGGGCCTGGGGGGGCGGGGCCTGGGGGAGGGGCCATGCTGGCCACACCCACCACGCCCGCCGGGCAAGCAGGAGGTGGCCAGGCGTGGCCTGGTTCTGGGCCTGGGTGGAGGGCGTGGGTGCTCAGCAGAGATGACCTGCCAGGATTCAGGGGTTAGGCGGGAGCGGCGCCTGGGGGCAGCGGCCGAGACAGCTGATTGGAGTCCTTGCCGCACAGGGACAGCCGGCGGAATGTGGCCCTGTCACCAGCGGGGCCGAGGGGCGTCTGGCGGCTGCACTTGGCTGTGCAGGGCCTGCTGCCCGCTGGTCTTGGCCCCAGGCGCGGTGCGGCTGTGGGGGGGGAGGCAGCCTGCAGGGTAGGCACGCTGTCTGTCCCAGGTGCTGGAAGGAGAGGGGGCTGGGGTCTTCCTGGGCCTGCGGGTGCAGCCCCTTTGGGCCTCCCCCTCCACCCTCCCAGCCAGGAGCCCAGACCTGGAAGCGGCAGGGGGGCTGGGGTCACACTTGAGGGCCTAGGGTCTGGGGTTGAGGCTGGGCTAGGCCCACGGCAGTGACTGGGGCCTCCTGGTGACCCAGCACACAGCCACCTCTGGGCGAGACATCTAGGCCTGGCGTCCCAGTGCCCCCTGAGTCATGCTGCATGTGTCAGGTTCCCCTCTGCGGGACCCATCACGGATCCTGCTGCCATGATCTGGCTGCACTGGGGGTACTGGGCTGAGGGCAGGCTGGGCTGCATCCCGGGCGGCCTATAGAGACTCCGTTGGCATTCCCGACCCTCTGGCGTGTTGTGGAGCTCCTCGATGACCCACAGCACCCCCAGGACTAGGGGCAGGCGGTGTGTAGGAGCTCTGCCCTGGGAGGTATGCCCTTCTTTCCAGGTGAGGGGACCAGGCACCCCTTCCTGTGCTCCCCAAAGCGGGTGTCTTGTCGTGAGTCTGTCTCTGTCCCCTCATTGGTGGAGGCCACTGCCAAGGAATCACATCTTAGCTGGTGGGTGGCCCGCCCTGGGGCGCACAGCCCGGAAGGATGGACCTGGACCGTGGTCCCAGGTTCCCCAGGGGCAGACGAGCCAAAGACCCCAGGGTACTGCTCTCTCCACCCAGGAGGCCGACGCCATGCGGGAGGCCCTGGTGCCCAGCCTGGCCTGTGCTGCGGCCCATGCCGGCGACCTGGAGGTGCTACAGGCGCTTGGGGACCTGGTGAGGCCCCCGCCCCTCCTCGGGGACCAGCCCCGGCCACACCAGTCCCCCCGGCAGGGGTGGGGGGCGCGGGATGGCCTTGCCCTGGGGCCCTGTTCTGCCAGGCCCTGCTGCTGGGGGACACCCTGACCCTTCCCATCCCCTTTTCCCGGCTTATCTGACCCTGCCCAGCCCTCCCTCAGGAGGTGACAAGCCTTTGTGTCACCCCAGGGCAGTGACCTGAGCCTAGAGAACTTTAACGGTCAAACTCCTCTGCACACGGCCGCCCGGGGAGGCCAGCCTGGGGCGGTCACCATGCTGCTGCGGAGAGGGGTGGACGTGGACCCCCGAGATGAGGACGGATTCAGCCCTTTGCTGCTGGCCGTGAAGGGCAGGTACTGGGGGCTCCCCACAATGGGCATGCAGGCTGGGGGTCCCATGGGGTGAGTCGGGCAGGCCGCCGTAGGATGGCTGCTGGTTTGCCTGTGGTGACCCAGCTTGCTCGGGAGAGCCGGGCAGGGCCAAGGACATCTGCTTTCTAGAGCCTTACCCACCCCCGGCCCAGCTGGGCACAGGGCCTGGGCGGGCAGCCAGCAGGGGGCTGGAAGGACAGGCATCGGGGCCTGAGGATGTCCCCGGCTCCCCCCGCCCCCTCGTCCTGCCTGGCATCTCTCCGAGGGCTAGGCCTTACCCGCTCTGGCTGACAGTGGAAACTCAGAGCAGGTGGCCACGAGGTGGGCAGGGCTCGGAGGAAGCATAGCTCAATGTGCTAGGGACTTCTATCTGAACGGGGCCTGGAACTTGCTGGGAAGACCTTATGGGTAGTGGGGCCCCTCCAGAAGCCCAGAGCAGTATCGGTGTGGAGTGTGGGAGTGCACACGTGACCATGGCTGTGAGAGCTCACGTGTGTCTGGGCGATGGGTCATGGTTCTTGTGTTTAGCCCTTGGTTGGCTGACTTAGGGTCTGCGCCAGGCCCCAGATCCCCCTGCTTCTCCACGCTAGGGAGTGCTGGCAAGTCTCACGGAGAGAGGCTGGGGGTGTGTGAGCCTGGGGTGGCCCGACTGTCTGGCTCGATCCAGTCCGGGGTGCCCTGGCACTGTGCGCCCTGGGGTGGGCACGTCATCCCGGTGAGGATCAGGGCAGGTAGCTCCCTCTTGACCGGGCTGTGAGCAGGGCGCCGGGAGTTCCCAGGGTGGGGGTGCGGGGCTGGAGTGAGCTGGGTGCAGATTCCAGGCTGTGAGTCCTTGGGCGTGGGTCGAGAGTGATGAGCTCACCGTCCTGGTCCCGCCCCCTCATCCCTGACCCCCCCCCCAGCTTCACGGCACCCCCCAAACCGGTCTCCCAGCCTCACTCTCCTGGCCTCACTCCCGGGCCTGGACCTGCGTGCCCTGGAGGGCTCTTCGGGGCGGGGGGGGCAAGACCTGGGGGACCCCACCCTTCTCCCCAGGCTTCCTAAAACGGGGTGACCCTGCAATTTACAGTACAAGGCCGCTGCGGGGGAAGGGGCCGGGCAGCAATTCTGCTGAGAGACTGCGTCTGCTGGTTCTGTTCCCTTGCCTTGCCCACCCCCTCCCCCACTCCCCAAGCCCCCACCCGGCCCTGCCCCCACCACACATCCCCATCCCACTCCAGGGTGGCTCCAGGCCCGGCCCAGGCCAGTCGGCCTCTGGAAACCCACAGACGTCGGGGCCTGTTCTGGGACCTTCCTGTTCACATCTGTCTGTCAGTGTCTCATCCCCGCCCCCCTCCAAGGGCAGAGCCAGGCCCAGCTGACTCTGCTTCCCCAGGCCCAGCCTTGACTGCAGCGGGTGTGTGCGGTGGGGAGTGCGTAGGGCCCTTAGGATGGGGGCTGGGGGGGGCCTGTGGCCAAGGCCTCATGTGGGTAGAGGAACGGCTGGGTCAGGGCCGATGCCCCAGCATGGGCAGGGTGCTGGGGTACCTCAGACCTGGCTCCACCCTGCAGACCCAGGAAGTCCCAGGAAGCTCCCTGGATGTGTGAAGGGACATTGCCCTGGGCTGCGGGGGGGTGGGGTGGGGCCGGGGCAGGGGGAGCCGCACTGGTTCAGAGCCCGGGGCAGGGGGCTGGCAGGGGAGTCGCTGCCATGTTGAGCAGCAGCTGCCGGGCAGGCAGTCAGTGTGGTCAGCACACTGTGTCTTGTGACAGGCATCGGGGTGTCATTGAGCTGCTGCGGGCAGCTGGGGCCTGCCTGTCCCCCCAGGAGCTGGAGGACGCGGGGACAGAGCTGTGTAGGTAGGGTACCGGGGCACCTGGGCTTCTGGGGGGTGGGAGGGGGAAGGGACTCGGGTGGAGTGCTTCAGAGGAGGAGGGCCTACCCCGTGCCCGCCCCGCCGCTGGAGTCTGCCCTGGAGGCTGGGGTGGCTGGGGGAGGAGAGCTGTCACCCACTTCCAGCCAGGTGACAGGTCTGCTGAGTCCCTGTCCTCCCCAGCGCAGGCCTTGCAGTAGTGGGGCCTGGTCCCCATCCAGGGCCAAACTGGGCCCATGGGCAGCGGCGGTCCCGCCCCATCCCACCACGGCCAGGGGCTGGCAGGGCTCGGACTCACAGGTGCCCTGAGGGACCCCCCCGGCAGGCCTGGGTGACCTTCGCTAGTGGGGAGTTGGGGGTCCTGGAGGTCTCCAGCCGGCGTATTGGCCATGGGTGGGCCGGAGGACGGGGGCTGCGGAGCCCAGCTTCCTGCTCCATCCGCTGACACCCCATCTCCGGGCTGCTGCTGTGGCTCTGTCTGGGGTCTCTCCGTGCCACCTGTCAGCTGCCCCCGAGCTGGGGCCAGGTGCCGAGGGGGGCAGTGGAGAGACACGAGGGTGGGGCGCTGGAGGCAGCCTGTGTCCGCAGCCCTGAAAGAGCCCCCAAGCCTGGGGAGGGGTGTGGACCTTGGCTCTCAGGCCGACGGGCGGGGGGTGAGGGGTGTGTGCACAGTCTACTCACAAGTATCCCCGAAGCCCTGACCCTCTCGTCCCCACTGGCCAGTGCCTCCCCTACCCCCATTCCTCGGTGCTGGCCTCGGCCGGCCCTGGGGGTCCCAGTCGTAGATGTGGGGTGGGGTGGAGAGACCCCGCTGGCCCCCAGCCTCAGGGCTTCCCGCCCTGACCTTCAGTGTCCCCAGGGGGACAAACCCTGCTGACCAACCCAGCTCCCACCCTTCCCGGCTTGCGGGGGGATCGTGGGCGCTCAGATGCGATGGGTTTTAGGGCCTCGCCAGGGAGGGAGGGGCCTCGGCTCCAAGGGACTTCTGGGCTTGGCTCTGTGTTGTGCTGCCCCGGGGGCTGCTCTCATTGGCTCCAGGGACAGGTGGGGACACAGGCCAAGAGTGGCGGTGGCAGCCAGTCCCAGGGCATCCAGGACTCTGCCCAGGGAGGGCGTGTCCACCTTGGGCTGCCTGGCTGGATCTGGGGGCCCAGCGAGGCCAGCGTGTGGGAGGTGGCGGGGGAGGCTGGCGACAGGTCTGGGAGGGACTGGCAGTGTCATCCTGCATGATTCACCCCAGAAATCACTCGGTGCCTCTGTGGGGGCTGACCAGGAGGGAGTCGCTGGGGCCCCTTCTGTGGGATAGCCCCCCCACTGGTGCCACAGCCCCGGTCAGCACAGCTGGTGTGTCCCTATCCCCACCTGGCTCGTGGTTGGGGAGTGGGCTCCCCTGAGGGTGTGAGGGCGAGCAGGACCCTGGCAAGGGCAGGTGGGCCGGGTCCTTCTCCCAGCCAGCCCTGCCACCCCGCCACGCCGCCTGCTGATTCCAGACACCCCCCCCCCCCCCCGCCCACATCTCCTCGCAGACTTCCCTCCCTCCCGCCTCTACTGACCCCGCCCCAGAGGGCTGTGTTGTGAAATAGGAAGCTGGCGAGTGGCCCTCCTTGTGGGGTGTGCGCACGTGCGTGTGTGTGCTTGTGTGAGTACGAGCATGTGTGTGTCCTTGACCTGAGTCACGGTCACCCCTGTGGGGTGAACCCAGCCTCCAGGCCACTGGCTCGCCTGCAGTGGACCCCACACTCTGGCCCTGCTGGCCCGAGCCACTGCTGGGGTGCTGTGTGGGGCTGCCTTTGTGGCGGGTCCCGAGGCCCTGACAGCTCGTCCTCCTCTGCTCCCTCTCCCAGGCTGGCGGCCAGGGCAGACCTTGAAGGCCTTCAATCATGGTGGCAGGCGGGGGCTGACCTGAGCAGCCCAGGCTACGACGGGCGCAGTGCCCTGCTTGTTGTGAGTGCCCCAGAGCTTCCGCTGCCCTCTCCCAGGCCACCTCTTCCTGGAAGGCCTCCTGATAGTTCCATTGGCTCCCCCTCCTCCAGCCCCTACACCCAGTGCCCACAGTCCTGCTCTCCCTTCCCATCCTAGGCCCCTCCCTGAAACCAGAGCTGTGGGGACAGGGGAGTCAGGGGCACTGGGTGGGAAGAGCCAGGGAAGGTGTCCTGGTGGGTGGAAGGTGGCAGGGGGGTCAGGGGCCCAGTGGCCGGTCACATGCTCCCTCCCACAGGCAGAAGCAGCTGGGAACCTGGAAGTGGTGACCTTCCTGCAGAACCTCAAGGGTGGGGCCAGTGCCCAGGCCCCAGGCCCAGTAAGTTCCCTCCACTCCGCACAGGACTGAAGGCTTCCCCGCACGGCTGGGCTCTGGCTTAGGGAACATGTCTAAGGGCTTGTCCTGGGGATGGAACCAGAGGAGGGTAAGATGAGTCAAAGTCAGGCCTGCAGATCTTTTTGTAGATGGGGCACACATTGTGTGCCTGAAGGGAGCAGTCAGGGAGGGCTTCCCATAGGCAGAGTCAAGCTCACACCTCCTGTCTTCTGTCCTATCAGGCCACTCTGTGACGCACACTCTCACGGCGCTGGAAGGACCCAGCCACGGCCTAGGAGGTTCCTTGAGCCCGGAGGGGACCTCAGATCCTTCTACTTTACGTCCTTCCTGCCGCGCCCCACCCCACAGGGCCAGCTCCCCACACGGGGACCCCTTGGCCCAGTGCTCCCCCCCTGATTCCCAGGGTAGATGGGCCAAGTCCCCAGCTCACACCTCTTTCCCCCACTCCATCGTCTGACCACCCCGCAGGTTCTCAAGTCACTGGATTTGCTCCAGTCCTCCGGTCCCTCCCTGGGAAAGGCTGGGCCCTACTGGTGAGGTGCCTGGGCTTGTCTCCCTGCCCCTCCCCTCTACGCTACCTGTGCTGCGCAAGAGCAGTCCCCGGAGACGGCCAGTTTTCAGGAAGTGCTGCCTAGTGTCTAACCTGAGGCCGTCGTGCTGCAGCACAGATGGGACCTGCTGGAGGATCACAGCCTGCCCCCCTCCCCCCGGCCTCTGTGATATGTCCCCACTGCTGGGACTGCTTCCCTCTGTTTCCCAGACTTGGCCTGAAGATTTTGTTGGGCGGAGTGGTAATAAAATCTCTCTGGGGACCCCTCCCTAGGTCCCAAAGCCCAGCTCTGGTGGGTCCTTCTGGGTCCCAGGACTATGGGTATGGGTGGGGACTTGTGCCCAGGCTCTGCAGAGGGCAGCCTGAGGGTGAGGGACACCCAGCCAGCCCTTCCCGGGGCCAGAGCGAGGGGTGTGTTCTGCAGCCCTGCACCGCTGTCCTGCCTCCCCGGGTTTGCACAGGCTGCTCCCTCCTCCAGACGACCCCTGCCCCGTCGCCTTCAGTCTGATCCTCTCCTCCTGGAAGCTTGCAGCATCCTCCTCCAGGCAGCCCCCACCCACATCTGCCCCTGCTCAACTCCCCCTGTACAGACTGGACCATCCCGTCTCTCTGGTCCTCCCAGCCCCTCCCAGGGGCTGGCGCCTGCTGGGCGGGGTTTAGTCCAGCCCCTTGTGCCCAAGGCCCCCACCTGGAGAGGCACGAGGGGGTGACCTGTGCCTGCCCTAGGTGCCTGGTTGTGACAGCCTCACGGGGGCGGGGGTGGGTTCTCCAAGGTGGGTCGGACAGCCCTGAGCCTCGTCAGAGGCCTGGCTGGGACTGAAATCAGGTGTTTGGACCCCTGGCTGATTCTCCGTCCAAACTATAAGCAGTCCAGTGGGGCAAGAGCTCCCTGAGTGTCAGGCCTGCCCTTCCCCCCACCCCCTGCCCCAACATGGTTCCTGACCCCTCCTGGCTGAGCATGGGGAGTGTGGGGGGAGGGGGGGATAGGGAGTGGGGGGTACCTCCTTCCAGGTTCTCCACCACTGCCCATGTGAGGATTCCCATCCATCTGTCCATCTGTCTGTCTGTCCCCTGGGTTGGAGGCTTGGGAGAGCTGCGTGCAGCCTGAGGGCATGGGCCCTGCACATGTTGGCCACAAGTGTGACCCCCAAGAGCCCGCCCTTGGCACCCACAGTGTAGCTGGGACCTCTCCCGGGTGGGCCGGGCTGGGGGTGGCTCTGCCCGCACCCCCGGGCTTCTCCGCCTGGTTCCCAGGCCCAGGCTGGCACCTTGGCTGGCAGCCTTCCAGATTCTCGCCCAGACACGGGTGTGCCTGGGCCTTGCACAACCAGGGAGCACCACAGAAGCACAGCTGGGCCTGAGGAGCCTTTGCCCCACACCCTGATGAAGGCCCCATGAGTGGGGGGATGGGGGAGGAAGGGGGCTCCGGGCTTGACAGTCAGAGGGGTGGCTGCTGGTGGGGGGGGGGCAGGACGGTTGGATGGGAGCCTGGTGGAGTAGAGGAGGGAGGAGGCTGCCGCTCAGGTCCCCCAAGTGGTAAAGCAGCCCTGCCCCCCTCCCCCGCCATGTCTTCTCTGTCCCCAAACCCCCACAGCTCCCTGGAAGCACCCAGCTCTTGGGCTCTACTTGCCAGGGGTTGGGGCAAAGCCTGTTGCCCATGGCCACTCAGGACTCAGTGCTTCTCTCAGACCCCAAGGAGCACCAGATTGTGAAAGCTGTGGGGGGCTCACATCAGTCCACAAGGCAGCACCCTCCCAGAGCAAGTGTAAGCCTCCAGGGGTAGATAGTCCCACGGATCCCCAGGATGAGGACCCCGCTGGGTAGAAGGTCCAGCTGGGTCCTGGGTGTTCCACGGAGAGCACATGTTCATCTGACTTTCCCCAAGTGGGTGATGGACGGTGGGTGAGAAGCTTCCACAGCCAGGCAGGTTGGGGGAGCGCCCCGCCAGGTTTTGCAGTGGGGGGGAGGCCTCCATTCTTGGGCCCCTGCACACTCTTGTGGGACATAGAGCCCTACAAGGTGCAGTTCCTGGACGGGACGTGTCTCTTGGAAAGCTGTGCAAAGTCACAGGTGCACGTCCGGAAACTTCCGCAGAGCTGTTCTGTACCCTGGCAAGAGACCAGTCTGCATCTGTAAGTCAGCTCCTCTGAGAAGCACGGAGTGGCAACAGGGCAGTAAAGGGCCAGTCCCCTAGGTCCCCAAGCACAACACATGAGGAGAAATAGCCACACGGGACAATGGTAGAGGCTCGCCTTTTGCCACACACTGGCTCCTCACGGCCCCGCTACACTCCCGAGAGCGCACTGGTTCATCTTCCTTCTCATTCCACAGCTGAAAAAACTAAGGGCCAGTCCTGTGCTCAGGGTTGCACGTTGGTACACTGGCCTGGCCCCGGGGCAGCCCCCCCCACCTCTGGAAGGCGGCCCCGGGGGACACGGCATGGGGCCGGCATGAGACATGGGAGCAAGGCTAGGCGGGGCACGGGCTGGGAGGACGTGGGAGGCACCGTGAGCCCGTGGGGTCTTGGAGGACCCCGACTCCTTCGGGAGCCGCTCTGCTCACACCTCACACTCCCAGGTGAGGCCTGGCTCCCAGCAGCCCCTCAAATCACGAGGATCCCAGGCTTATCTCTGGGAAACATTTCTCTCTGTCTCTCACTTAGGCCACTGTCTGTGTTTACCCAGTATCTTCCATCATAAAGTCGGACTTCTCAGTCGGGCCCCCAGGTCACCCAGCTCCCAGTGGCAGCTTGCCTGACTCTACATGGCAGGACGTTCCCTGGCTGGGCACACCTCAGGTGGGAGCCACAGCTTCAAGGACTGTCACCCTTCCCTCCCCAGCCCCCTCGGATGCGGGACACCGTGACCCAGTTTTGCTGGATAAGAAGGGGGTATGGGGGGACGGAGTGTGTAGGGAGGGGGCTGCCCCCGACAGGGCTGTGCCAGGGAGCTGGGGACAGGACAGGTGGGCTCCTCCCACCCACGTGGTAATGGTGATGGGAAGAAATGACATGGTCCACTCCTGTTCCTCTGTCACAGGCCTCTGTGCCTCCATCCCATCCCCCAGCACGGACAGGCCTGTGGAGTCAGCAGGGGTGTGTGGCGGGAGAGCCTTCGGACTCTGACAAGTGATGGCCCCTCTGTGAGCTGGTCTCTCCCACGGCAAAATGCAAAGAATAAAACTTCTGCCACTCACGTGGCAGGGTTGTGACAGGCGAACCACACACAGTGTGTGAAAATGCCTTATATCTGTCATACTTGGTGGCTGTGTCCTGGCTGGGGATCAGTGGGGGTTGGGGCCCCTGGGTTATGCAAACACTGGTCTCCGAGGGCTGGGTGTGCGTGTGTGCGTGTGTGTGTGTCCCGCGCGTGACCACCCTGAACCTAGCTGAGTGAGTCTGACCTGCCACACCAGGGGCTCAGAGTGGGGGCTGGGGACTTAAGCGACACCTCTCTCCAAACTTTCTTTCCTAAAGCTGAAACCCCCATTAGACCCCATCTGCCCGCAGCAGGCAGCTCCCTGGAAGATCTCCCGGAGGCCGCAGCTGGCGGGGGCCCCAGCATCTCCAGGTGACTAAGTGGGCAGGCCAGAGCGCATGGGGCTGGGTGACGCACGCTGGGGGTGGGGGGGGCCATGGCGAGGGCTGCTGGCCTGTGTGGGGGATGGGGGCAGCATGGGGCTCCCAGAGTGGGCCCTGGGGGGTGGGCGTGAGGGTTCCGGGCCCCCGGCCTCACCCTCTGAGAAGAGCCGGGTCTGAGAACGAGGAACCGGCTAGACACGTTCCCTCCCTGGCTCCGGCCTCCGTCTAGTTTCACTTTCTCTTTGTTCCCCCTCCCACGAAGCTCCCTTTGAAGTGAGCGGGGCCGGGAGGGGCGTGTCCGGCCCGCGTCCTCCCCCTCCCCACCCGGGGGCGTGCACGCGGCTCCGGCTCCTGCCGGCTCTGGGCCGCACCTGTCCCGGCCACCGGGCGGACCAGCTCGGCCGGTGTCATCCCCCGCTCGCCCCCCGCGGTGAGTCTGGGCGCCCGGGTCCCAGGCCCCGACGGAGCGGGTGTGGTCGCGGGGCCCGGAGCGCGGAGCCCGGGACGCCAGGTGCGCCCCGGCCGGGCGCTGGAGGCGGGGACGCCGGGCGGGGCCGGGAGGCCGGTGAGTCAGGGCCACCCCCGCGCGGGCGCGCCGAGCAGGTACCCGGGCCGCGGACGACCCGCCGCGCGACCCGCCGGCCCGGGAGCCGCCCGGCCCGGAAAAACCGGTCGGGCCAGCGCGGCGCGGTCGCATTCCGGCGGCGGGGGAGGGCGGCCGCATGGCTTAAAAGGCGCCGCGGCCGCACGGACGCAGCCGCTGGGCCACGCGTGGCGCGGGCCGAGGGGACGCGCAGCCGGGGCTCCGGAGCTCGCGGGACTCGGGGCGGAGCTGGTGCGGCGGGGCGCGGGGCGCGGGCAGGGCTGCCGGGCGGCGGGGCGGCGGGGCCTTCTCTCCGCAGCGCGGCGCACCGCGGACTTTCCCCGGCGCGCTGGGTGCAGTGGTTCTTAACAGTTCAACAGTTCTGTAGCGCAATTGTGAAATGTTTAGGACCACTAGACCCGGCGGGCCTGGCGGCGACAGCGACCGGAATGTCCCAGGCGCGGCCCGGACACTGGGGCAGGGGCACGCCGGCTGGGAGGAGCCCAGCGCCCCGCTGCGTGAGCCCCGGGCCGGCCAGAGCCCCGCGGGCAGCAGCGCCCGCACGCCGGGGGCCGGGGCCGGGGGCCGGGGTGGGGACCGGGGCCGGGCGGCGCCGGGCGCTGGGAATCGCGGGGTGTGGACGCGCCGGCCGGCCCACGCTCCTGGCACGGGGCCGACCCCGGGAACCCGCGCCGCGCTCCTGCGCCCGTGGGCCTCACCCTTCTCGAAAGTTCGCCGAATTCCCACGGGGACCCGACGGCGGGCTGAAGGAGCGCGCCTGACCCGGGGCTTCCCCGGAGCCGGGTTAGGGTGAGCCGGGTGGGCTCCCTGGGAGCTGGGGGGCCTGCGCCGCGGGAGCCTCGGCGTAGTAGACGGAGCGCAGAGGCCCCGAGGGTCGTGTGGTCCGAGGAAGGACTTGCGGGACAGAAACTCGGTGGGGAGGGAGTTGAGAGGCCACGCGCCAGGCAGGGGAGACACCGCAGAGCCGGGGTGGCGGCCTGGGGTTCCACGGCCAGGTGGGAGGGGAGGTCTCGCGAGAGTGGGTGGCAGGTCCTGGCGGCAGAGCCCTGGGAGCTGCCGGCACTGGGAAGGGCTGAGCCCTTTATTCCCACCTCCCGCGGGGATGAGGCTGACCCGCTGGTCTGGCAGCACCCTCTGGGGAGAAGGGGGCAGCATCCCTCCTTTCTCCCCCCAGCGCTGAGGGGAGCTCCAGAGCAGGTGCAACGGTCTGGGTTTGAGGTCCACAAGGCAATACCCAGCTTGATGGCCTTAGGCCAGTTGCCTGCTCTGGCAGAGCCCCACCTGCGTATGGGTGTGGGGGGTTGATGTGAGGTCAGGAGCAGTAAGTGGGGGGCTCTTGGCTGCAGGAGGCTGTGGGAGCCCTGGCTGCCTGGTCCAAGGAGGAGGCTGTGTTCCTGGGAGGAGGTCCACCCTCCAGCCAGCACCTTCAGCTTTTGCCCCACAAACTGTTCTGGGGCCACCAAGCTCCGAGGAGCCCAGAGGCTCTCAGCAGCTGTGCTGCCCCCTGACCGCCACAGTCAATTGGGGACCCTTAATTCTACAGTGTTCTCCCTGGGCCGTCTGCTTAGCGCAAATGAGATGGGCTCCCCTACTGAGGCTGGGGCTGGGGGGCTGGGATGGGGTGCTCTCCATTCTGTAGCCCAAAATCATTTTGTACAGTGTGGGCATTGACATTACAGACTGATGAAAATAAATGTGTGTTCAAAGCTTCACCGTGTCCAGGGCTGGCTGTCCTTTCTTCCCCAGACCTCACTCTGGCCCCTCTCTCTGCCTTCCAATCCCAGAGGAATGGAAGTGAGGATGGTTGTGGGTGGGGCCTGGGCCTCACATTCAGCCTCCGCCCTGCCCCTGGCACTGTGGTTCCCCAGCAAGCCCCACTGCCAGCACCAACCCTCTTTTAGCAGGGAGGGACCTCTCTGGGACCCCGCAAACCCTCTCCCACCCCCCTGAGTTGGGCCCTGGGCCATACACCCTCCCTTTGGCTGAAAGCTGCTGCATCCCAGAGCCCGGCTGAGGAGAGCGCGCCTGCGCGCAGCCCCACCCTATGTGGGTCCCCCGGCCAGCTGCCACCTGTGTCCGGCAGGGGGTTCTGGCCATGGGCAGGGCCAAAGTTGGAGTGACGGAGGAACGTCCTCTGCTCCCCCATCCTGACTCAGACTGAGTCCCCAGGTCTGCGGCTTCAGATCCCAGCTCTGTGGCCCACCAGCAAGTGACCTTGGCCAGGCGCCCTGCCTCTCAGTGTTATCTCTTCCTCCTGCACAGAGGCGGGGGTGGTACCCAGCTCGCAGGACTTGCGGGAAAGCCCACGAGACGGTGCAGCCAGACTCCCGGGGTGCTGATGCGGAACTGAGCGAGTGCTTACCCCGGGACTGGCATTGCCTCGTGATGGGCGGGTTTGGAAGGGGGGGTCACAGGTGGCAACGAGCTGGGGTCTCACAGTTGGCCCCCTCGGTCCCTGAGGCCTCCAAGAACACAGGCAGTTCCTACTTTGAGTAGAGAACCCGTAGTCGTTCTCTTTAATAACGGAAGCCCCACATGTTAGCTGCACGCACGGCCCCCAGGCAGTTTAGCGGGCAGCTCTGCCCAGAGCGAGGTGACAGATGAGGCAGCTACCATTTCAGACTGGACCCTCTGCCCCCGCGTCCTCTTTCCCTTTTCCTGGCAGAACCCGGCCTCGGGTCCCGAGCCTGCTCTGGCTACGCAGAGGATGGCCATGGGGACAGCAGAGCCTCCCTGGTCGATGCCCACAGAACCATCCCAGTTTGTCTGGGACTTTCTGGGAGTCTCTTGGTCTCAGGGAGAACCCCTGCCCCTGACAGCTGAGCAGGCTGTCACACAGTTGGTTGCTCTACCTGGGACCAGCTCAGGAGACACACCACCCTGCTCCTTGCACCACTGACCAGCCTCTTTTCTGCAGAGAACTAAAGCCCTGTCTTGTTCAAGCCTTGGTTATTCTGGTCTCTGTCAAAGTAGCTAAACCAGTATTCTGAGTCGGTGGTGCTCAGGCTTTGCCGTGTGGCTACATCTCCGGGAGGGCTAGGATGCGCCAAGGAGTCGGCACCTGCTGAGGTCAGAGGCCCCAGGCTGAGAACAGCCGTCATAAGTAGGAGACCTCCTCAAGAGAAATGGGGTGCAAATAGGGGAGACAGACCCTGAACCTATAGCTTTTGGAGCTGTCCCGGGCCACAAAAGCCCCAGGGAGTGGGAGCCCCAAGCAGAGCCTGCCTGTGAGTCCCAGCTCCTACCCCACAGGCCACCCGCTGGGGCTTAGACCAGGCCCCCGAAGTGTGCTTCTAGCTAGCTGTGCAGCTCCTGAGGGCAGAGAAGGGGGAGGACAGATGGTGGCTTCTTACCTTCTCCACACCCTCAGCGACTTGGCGAGCCCCACGGGCAACAGACCAGTCCCTGCGGCCATGGGCCTGGGTCTGGCTGCTGCGGGCTCACTGAGCATCCACTGTGGGATTGAGGGGCACACAGACAGCCCTCCTGTCTTGGCGGGCCATCTTTCTCTTCATTTCTCCCCCTTTATAGGAGTATAATTGATATATGCCTTCAAAGTGTACAGTCTGACGACTTGGGACATGTGTGCATACCCACGAAGCCCTCCCCAGAGTCAAGGCAGTGGCCCATCTGCCACTGATCAGGATTCATTCAATCTCTTGTCATTCCCTCCTCCCTTCTCCACTTCCCTGTCCCCAGAGCTTGCTTTGTTGGGAGATACTTAATGCAAATTCAGTATCTCTAGTAGAAATCAGACTATTCTGGTTACCTGTTTCTGCCATCTGTGTCTTCCCAGGAATCTGCTTACTTAAGTTGTCAGATTATGAACTTTTGCATGATACCCCATTCTCATCCTTTTGATATCTGTAGGGTCTGTGGCACTGCCTCCTCTCCCATTCCTAATATTGGTGCCTTGTGTCTTCTCTCTCTTGTTCTGGCTGCCTTGGTTAGCGGTTTGTTTGCTCATCCATCCGTGCATTCCTTCATTCATTGATCTTCTGAAAGAACCAGACTTAGGCTTGTTTGATTTCCTCTGTTATCTTTTGTGTTCTATTTGATTCCCACTCTGATCTTGCCTTTTTCCCTTCTCCTCATCTTGGGTTTCTTTGCTCAGCTTTTCTAGTTTCTTAAAGTGGTGTGCGTCAGGCCACTTGAACTTCATTCATTGTTTATAGTATTTTGTTTTCTGTTTCATTTTGGATAATTTCTGTTTCTACCTAGAAACTGGCTTCTTCTTCTTCTTCTTCTTTTTTTTAAAGATTTTATTTATTTATTTGACAGACAGAGATCACAAGTAGGCAGAGAGGCAGGCAGAGAGAGAGGGAGAAGCAGGCTCCCTGCTGAGCAGAGAGCCCGACGTGGGACTTGATTCCAGGACCCTGAGATCATGACCTGAGCCAAAGGCAGAGGCTTAACCCACTGAACCACCCAGGCACCCTAGACTCTGGCTTCTTCTGCAGCGGCCAGTTTGCAATGAATTCCGTGAGTGTATCTCCATCCTGGACATTATGTTTTCCATCTAGGGAAGTTAGATTGGGTCTGTTGTATGGTTTCATGGCTCTATTTCATGTATCTGAGCATTCTGGGATCTTCCTGAACATAGTGGAATATAAATACAAAAGTAGTTTTAATGTTCTTGGGCTGTTAATGTTAGCATCTGTGTCATTTCGGGATCTGCTTCTATAGATTGGTTTTTCTCTCTGTTGTGTGACTTTCTGCTTCTTTGTATGCCTGGTAATTTTTGATTGGTTGACACATTGTGAACTTTATATTGTTGCATGCTGCACAATTCTGTATCCTGTAAGTGTGTGTAAGCTTTGTTCTGGGACATGGTGAAGCCGATTGTGTCTGATCCTGTCTACGACCCCTTTATTAGGATCTATTAGGATCAGTTTCACCTTTATTCTAGGGTAAAGTTTTCCCCAGCAAGGAGTATGTACCCCCTGTCTTGTGAAGGCTGATTCCTTCTGATGGATGGGAGCACACACTGTTCCCAGCATGTATTTTTAAGATAAACTGGGAAAATATATGTAATGTAAAATTTACCATTTTAACTATTTTTAAGTGTACTGTTCAGTAGCGTTAAGTACCTTCACAGTGTTGTGCCACCAGCATCGATCTCAACGTTTCATCTTCCCAAACTAAAACTCTGCCCCATTAAACACTAACTCCCCTCCCGCCATGCCCCGTTTCTACTTAGTGTCTTTATAGATGCGACGTGATGCCTCTAAGTACCTCATACAAAGGGAACCATACATATTTGTCCTTTTGTGACTGGCTTATTTCACTTAGTATAGTGTCCTTACGGTTCAAGCATGTTGCCACAGGTGTCAGAATGTCCTGTCCCCCCCTTTTTTAGAGCTGGGCAATGTTCCATTGTACAGGTGGACCACAGTTTGCTTATCCCTTCACCCAACAATGGAAATTGGGGCTGCCTCCACCTTTTGGCTACTGTGAGTGATGCTACTAAGGGCATAGTTGTGCCTATGCCTGTTTTAGCTCCTAGCATGGTTTGAAGCGCCCACAGGCTTTCCCTCATCTCCTTCCAGGTGTTCCCTTCTCTGGCCTTAGGTGGGAGCAGGGTTTGCTTTCCTCCGGGCATCGGTCCGCACTCGGCTGAGGACTCACGGGGACGCCCTGGCAGATCCCCAGAGCCACATTCTCTTCTCTGTGACACGCAGACCCAAGCGAGCTTGGCTTCTCCATACTGACAACTGCGACCCTGTCTCTGTCCAGCCACCCCCCTGTGACCTCCTCCCGGGCGCGCCCTCCCATGCCGCACCATCGGCTCCCACTCTCCAGGTCGCAAGCCGGAGCGACGTGGGACCACTTTCCTCCCCCACCTGGTGTCCAGCGTCTGTGTACTGCTCTTTTGTATATTGGGCTCATTTTAAAGTTGTTTCTGGTGGGAGTGTGACTCTGATCCCTGTCACTCTGTCTTGGCCCCAAGTGAAAGTTCCCCTTCTTCTTGTGACCCCAAGGACAGCAGTAGCTCAATCCTCCACTTGTGGACTGCTGGTATGCTCCCAGTGCATTCCTTTCTGGGGGACAGTTCTGGCTGTCCCCAAGGTGTGCCACAGTCGTTACGGACGTACTTCAGGCCCTCATTTGCCACTAGGCCACCTCCTGACATTGGGTCCTGGCTACCCCCAGGGGCTCGGATGTACCACGTGCTCAGAGTGGCACCTGTGGTCCTCCGTCACCTCTGTCCAGGGGCGGCACCTCACACAGACACATGATCTCCCTGATGGCCTAGGGGCAGCAGAAGTGCCGCCCAAAGCGTCTGCCTTTGGGAGGGGCTCCTGGTGGCCTCTTGGGACAGAGCCATCTCTGTCCCCTCCCAAGGAACACTTTGGGAAACTTCTCTTCTGCCCTGAGACTCACCCACCAGCCTTCCCTGCGCTGCCAACGGAATCTTACTGGAATCTGCCCCAGGCAGGAACGGAGTCGTGGGAATGACGCCCATGGCCAAGGCACCACTTGCTCATGTATTTTGCTAAGTCGGGCTTATTTTGTCTTTCTCCTTGTTTTATACTAGCGTGTGTGAGGATTTAATATTCCCTTGGAGCCACTTTGGCTCGGACTGACAGCATGGCGATGGGTACAGGTCGGTCGCTCTCCTTGTAATTCCCGTTGGGATTTTCTCTGCGATTATTCGGAAGTATATTTTACCTTTTATCTACCTTTCTGAATGAAACAAATCATTTTTTGAAAACTGAAATGTAAACACATATATAATTTAAGACGTCAAATAGTAATTTTGAGGCTTGTGGAGAAACACAGGAGCCTCCTGCCTTCTGTTTTCCTGCCCCATGCTGGCGTACTGTGTTCACCACGATTGTACTCTGATGTGTTCTGCTTCCGCTTCTGGATTTTTTGAAAAAATAATTACCTCATTTAAAAATTTTGCATAGTTTTCTATGTAATTGTGAGTAACTCTATGCTCTTTGATGTTTAAACCTTTGAAGTTTAAATGTTTCCTAATGTGTTCAAATACAGTAAATAATTTATTTTCTTCTTTCCTTCCCTCCCTCCCTTGCTCATTCCCCGAGGGCCTCCCCTTAATGTGCTCTGAGCACCGGCTCCCCTCTGCACCCCACAGGACCCGCTGACACCCTTAACCTCCTGTCACTACTGCTCCGAGATGTCCTTTGTCCCCTTCTGGGTTGAGGTCCCATTTCCTTCCTCCCACAGCCTCTCCTTCCTTGGTTCAGTTCCTTGTCTAGGGGGAGTCTGTCTGCCAGGAACTTTGAGAAAGGGAAAAAAAATCAAAGGTCAAGTTGTCTGTCTTTATGGTACTTTCCTGCTGGGTGATGGTGACGGGCCGGGCCGGGCCAGGCCAGGTGCTGAGTTCCCAGCAAACAGTCATTTCCCTCCGAGGGCCTTAGACTCTGCTCATCTCCCAGCTTCCCGGGGGTTCCTGCTGGGACGGCCTTGGATGCCAAAGTGCTTCTGGCTGGATGCGTGACTCCTGCCCCGGCTCGCCTTGATTGTGCCAGGCGTGGGAGATCCCTAGTCCTCGGTTCTGGCATTGTTGTTTGTTTGTTTTAATTTTTAAATTTAATTTTTTTTTTTTAAGATTTTACTTATTTATTTGACAGAGAGAGATCACAAGTAGGCAGAGAGGCAGGCGGTGGGGTGGGAAGCAGACTCCCCGCTGAGCAGAGAGCCCGATGCGGGACTTGGATCCCAGGACCCTGAGATCATGACTTGGGCCAAAGGCAGAGGCTTAACCCACTGAGCCACCCAGGCGCCCCTGTTTGTTTGTTTTAAATTATTATTTCCTCACTCCGACTTCGTCTGTTCTCTTGTCCTATTATTTGGACGTCGCACTCGTGGCTTTAATCCTGTCATTGTTTCCCTCCTCCTCGTCTCTTTCCTCTGCTTTCCGTGAGATCTTCTGGACTTTGGCCTCCAACCATTCTCTGGAGTTTATTGCTGTTGCTGTGTTTTTGTTTTACAAGTGCTTCCTCACCGTTCTCTGGTTCGTGTCTGTGCTTAAGTTCTGGGCTCCGGGCCGGATACCCTCTGCTCTTCCCCTGCCCACTGCGTCCCACCCCTGCAGCCATGGCAACCACGGTCAGTGGTGCAGGGGCCCCAGGTCTGGAGGGAGGGAGTGGCTCTCTCAGTGCCTCCCCCACAATCATTCAGTCCCTGCTGTTCTCGCCAGTGCTGTGCACTCTTGCTAAAACTATGACACACACGCACACGGGCACACCCAGAGCTTACATCCACGAGGCCGCCTTTGTGCCCAGCCTGGGTCCCAGAGCTGTGCTGCGCCCTGCCCCTCCCCTGGAGAGGTGTTGGCAGTGTTTTGGATGAGGCCCTGGGCAGCAGGGAGGCCCATTCTGCCCTGCATTTTCCAGGACTCCCACCCCCACGTGTGCCTCCGCCTGTCATTGCCTGTGCCTGGAGGGAGAGAGAGCAAGAACGCCAGGGGAGAGGGGAGTCAGCGGTGTGGGACAGGTGGGCTGAAGCCTGTGGGGTGCGGTGGGCGGAACCCAGGAGGCCCCGAGAGGAGGCTCGTGAGGCCACAGGACGTCTTAGCGCACTCCTCACCCTCAGGGGTCTAGCGCAAGCCCCTGCCTCTCTCAGGCCTCAGTTTCTCTATCTGCATAAGTATCTTTGTTTGGTTCTTGGTGTTGATTTGAAATTTCAAAACAGGTGTTGTCTTACTTGTCCTTCCACCCGAGACTGTGGCCAGATGCGCCATCTTCTGGCCGCAGGTGGTAGTGCCCCGTCCTAGAGGCGGCGGTGTGGCTCCCCAGGCCTGCCTCTTCTGTGACCCCGGGGAACCTGGGGTCCGGGGAACCTGGGGTCCGGGGAGGCGGGCGTCTGCTTCTGCTACCTGTCAATGCTTGGCCTGAGCAGAGCTTCGGGTGCCCAGACACGAGTCTAATTCCTGCTGTGCAGGGGCACAGGCACACGGCCCGTGCAGCGGGAGTATCAGGGCTTGGAGACGGGAGATGCCTGGGGCTGGGAGATGTCCTGGAAGGGAGGGCATCTGATGCGACCTGAAGGCACAGTTGGCCAGCCCTGCGGGAGAAGTCCAGATGAAAAGGACAGAGCTGCAGGGTTTGGCTCGTGGGGGCGTGAGAGTAGGAGGGACAGGGGCTGAGCCAGGAGAGGAGGAGGTCCAAGCTGGCTGAGGGACAGCCATTTCTGGCTCAGATTTCTACTAGGGCCGGGAGCCCTGGCAGGCTGGGTGGGAGGGCCAGTGCTCTGTTGTCACAGTGAGGGCACTGGTTGTGGGCTTTGGGGGCCACTTGGTGCTGCTATGGGAAGGCCCAGATCAGGAATGCTTCCATCTGGGCCCAAAAGTGTCCTCAGGGTCGTCACCCTGGCTGAGCTGGAGGGGGCTGCTGGGTGGGCCTGGTCAAGTCATCCCAGGGATAGTGGGGTGGGGGAGGTGGAGTCAGTATGGGGCAGCGAGGAGGGGGGCAGAGATCCCAACCGGGGGTCCGGGGGGCTGGGCCAAGGTGAGGGATGGGGAGACAGGAGCCTTTCTGCAATGGGAAGTCACGTGGGAACTGGCCACAAACACCGTACCCGGGATTCACTCATGCCTTTATTTCTTCAACAGATGTCAGGAGGTATCTACAGTGTGCCAGGGACGTGGGGGACCGCTGATATTCTAATGGGGCTGATGGACAATGAACAAGACAGAGAGGAAACAGCTGTAGTAATTCACCATGGGAGCTAAGGAGGAAAAAGGTGAGCACGAGGGCCGGAAGGTGTTGGGAGGGGCTGGAGTTGCAGGTGCGGTGGGCAGGGAAGGCTTTGCTGAGGGACCTACCCAAAGACTCCTGAGGAGGGAGAGAGAGAGCCCTGCGGCTCTGTGGGGAGACTGCAGCACCCCTGCAGTCACCCCAGCATCGGTGGGCCCTGAGTTTAGGAGCAGTGAGGAGGTTGGTGAGGGCTTGCGGGACACAAGGGCTCACAGGGAAAGAGGTGGGAAGCCGGGCTTTTGAGCAGAGAGGTGGAGTGGTCTCACCCACCGTCTTAAAGGCTCCTCTGGTGGGGGCTGCTGCAGGATAGGATGTTGGCAGACACAGGCGGTGGAAAGTGGGGTTTGACTCTGGACATGCTGCCAAAGTAGCGGGACTGAGGTCCCGGTGCATAGGACGTGGTGGGGGCGGTGAGGGCAGTCAGGAGTCAAGGCCGACTCTAGGTTGATTGCGCCGAGTGAATGAGCAGATGAATAATGGAGAACACCTCCCCCGGAGCGGGTCCCCCTTCCTGGAGCCCACCCCCGCCGAGCGGAGGCCCGGTCGCGGGCCCTGGAGCAGCTCCGCCCCCCTGCGGGCGCTGGCCGAGGTGCTGAAGCCGTAGCGCCTGCCGCGTCTGACTGCCCTGGGGCTGAGGCCCCTCCTGGCCTCGGGGTGCCAGGCAGGGGCAGGCACACAGCAGGAGGGGCAATGGGGCTGGCACAGTGAGGGCCCCCATTCTTCCGGGAGCCGGCCGGACTGCCAGTCTCCCTCTCTACCTGACAGACCCTGATCCCGCGGAACGCTGTGGGGCTGACCGCCTTGGGCTCCTGCATCTGCCCCTGGCTGGGAGCTCCCTGGTGAGGGCCCCGTCCATTCAGAGCCTCCACAGCGGCACTCCGGAGGCCACGTAGGGCAGGCCCTGGGGGCGAAGGGGGCAAAGAGGCAGCAGGACATAAGGGTTCTTGATCATGGAGGCCTGGCCTGGGACAAATTCTGGCAGGTTTCTTTGCCACTCGGTGCCTATTCCCTTGCTTCAAAACAAGGATCACAAGAAGACGGTCGAGGGGGTCACGTGGAGTGTGGTCCACAGCTGATGCCAGCAGAGCGGACTGCCTTCCCCCAGCGCGTGGCGCCCCGAAGGAGGGCTGGGCCAAGTGGCCTTCTTCTCCCAACCCGAAGGTGCCAGGGCTGAGGGGCTTCCCTCGTGGACACGGCTGGGCGGTCCTCCCTGGCTGCTCTCCCGGGACATCCTTCCTCCACTGCAGACACCAGCCCAGCCTCAGCAGGGGTGCCAAGGGGAGCCTGGTGAGCCGACCGGCCCACGGAAGCGGGGAGAGTCCCGAGGCCCCCTTGAGACGAGGGGGAAATTTCCTTCTCTCCGGCTCTTGGAGGAGATGAGTGCATCTTTAGGGCGCGCCCCTCAGATCATCTGACCTCAGGCCCTCTGATGCTTCCCTGTCTCTTTATTAGATACTCACAGCCACGGTTACGGTCCCGCAGGAGGTAAAACCACGCGAAGGGACGTGACGGGTAAGTGTAAGCTTCTCCCTGCCTGCACCGTCTCCTCTTCTCAGAGGCAATGACTCTTCCCCAAAGGGTCCAGGCCTTTAGCAGCAGAAATCTCTAGAAAGATAAACCCGACCCTGCCCTACAGTGTGTCTGGGGCTTCTTTCTAAGAGCTCTGGGTTTTGACCTGCATGCGCTGTCACGGCGGGTCAAGTGTTAGGCTTCGGGTCCAGTTTTCCTCCACCGCAGAGACTGCTGGTTCTCCCGAGGGCACCGTGGGGCGTGTCAGGGTGCCAGGGGCTGCCCAGCCCTCCCATTGCTGACCGAGAGGACTGGCCCCTTTTCAAGCCTGCCGTGAGGTTGAGCTGGAGGCCACCACAGGGCGTTGGGCCCAGGAGGGACTAGTCTGTGAGTAGAGGGGGGCAGGAAGGACTCCCACTGTCCCTGCTGTCCTGGGGAGATGCTGGTATGCTGGGCTCAGGGCTCCCCACACCTGATGCTGGAATCTGGCCACTCCAGGCCAGTGTCCTCCTGCCTCCCTGAAATAGATCGGAAGCTGAGTCCAGCAATTAATCCCGTCAGAAGTCCGAGCGATTGCAGGGGGTTTTCTGTTTTGCTCCCATGGCCTAGATTTCCCCGGGGACAGTTCTGACCTGCGCTGTGTGCTTGGTAAATTAAACGTTAAAAAAAAATCTACACGATGACTTTAATCAATCTGCTGAGATGGTGGGCAGCCTCCTCCCAGAAGAGCTGGGTCCACTGGAGGAACCCCACCCCCAGGCTTGGGGTCTTAGAAGGCGGGGGCAGGACAGTGCCTGCCTGTGGGGGGAGGGGAGAAGGTGGGAGGTCCCCAGGGTGGCCTGTTGGAGCTCAGTGCCTCCTAAATCCAGACCTTAGGAGCACAGAGGAGGGTGCAGGAGATGGGGAGCTGCGGGGATACTCAGGCCCCTCTTACAGCTTGTCCTCATGTCTGTCCCAGCCACAGGGTGGCCATGGGGGTGGAGAGGGGACAGCTCCTCCTGGGGTGTCTCCCCTGACCTGAAGCCTGGGTCGGGGCAGGGTGCTGGCTCTCGCTGGCCTTGTGGCCCGCAGATAAGGTGTTGACCGTGTGTCTGTTGGGTGCAGTCAGGTGGAAACTGTGTCCTTCAGCGGCCATCTGTAGGGGTCAGGGGAGTAACCTGGGGAGCACCAGGGTCTCCTGGGCCACAGGGAATTTGGGGGGGTGGGAAGAGTCCCTGGTCCTTCCATGGGGCCGAGGGGATGGCCTGGCTGGCCCAGTGATAGCACCCTAGCCAAGCTGTTGGGTCCTTCCATCTGCATAGCAGGGCTTCTGGAAGGGCCAGCATGCTGACCCCCAGGCCCCACTGCTCTCCAATCTTTTCCCCGTTGGTGCTTACCTTCCAGGTCCTGTTCAAGGCCCACCCTCCTAGCACCGTTCTGAACACCTCCTCCCCTTAACGCTTGAAGACCTTCCCCAGGGACCCAGGTTATGTAGGCAACCTTGTCTCTCTGCCCAGTGCCTCCCACCCCCAAGCAGGTGTCCCGCTGACCCCTTCTGTCCGCTCCTCCTGGGGACCCTGCACACAATAGGAGCCACGCATGGCTTGGCGTTGTTATCTGGGCAGATCTACCCCTGATCCATCCCCAGCTCCTACCATAATTTGGCCTGGCCAGGCGACCAGCAGGAATCTTCCAGCCCATGGGGAGTCACCGGAGCGGCCAGAGGGGTCTGGTAGGGGCAGAGAAGCTGCTCGTGGTGGCGGAATTGGGGTTCTGTCCACAGGCCGAGGCTGGGGCTTGGGATGCGGGCTTCCGTGCAGCCACCCTAGACAGGGGTCTTCCGGGGCATGGCCAGAGTGGGGAGCACAAAGCCGCTGGGCTCCCTACGCGTCTCCAGGGACTGGGACTCCCCGGGACGGACTCGAGAGGGGAAGAGCGGAGACGTGTCCCCTGTCCACAGAGGTTTCCGGAAGTCCTGCTCAGCGCCGCCTCCCCCAGCCCTGAGCTCCCGGGCCGGGCACCTGGCAGGGGCCCACGAGGCAGGGAGTGCGGCCCCAGGCCGGGTCCTGGTCCCCCGCCGTCCGCCGCACAGCAACTGGGCCTTCGGTTCCCTGCGCCCCTCCTCCTCCTCCGGCCCGCACGGCCGGGCGTCTGGCTCGTCTGCCCGGCGGAGGGGGCGCTGTCGGCGCGGGCGGGCGGGGCCGGAGCGCGGGGGCGCGCAGCGCGGCGCGAGCGCGGGGGCCGCGGGCGCGGACCGCAGAGGACTGGGGGCCTGGCGGGCGGCCCTGCGCGGTGCGGGGCGCGGCGGCGGCGGCGGCGGGCGCGCGGCCAGTGAGCGCGCGAGCGGGGAGGCGGTGGCGGTGGTGGCGGCGGCGGCGGCGGGAGGAGCTCCCGGCCGCTCCCCGCGCTCCGCTCCCCGCCGCTCCCCGCGCTCCGCTCCTCCATGGCGCTGCCCGGGCCGCCAGAGCCGCCCCGCGGCGCGCCCCGCAAGACGCCCAGCCTGCTGGAGATGGGGGCGCTCTGTCTGGACTCGGAGATCATCCTGGGCTTCACCAGCCACCTCCTGCGGCGGCGAGCCAAGGTGAGGGCCGAGCGGCGGGACCCGCGGGCGGCAGAGGCGCTGTCCCGCCACTTTGCCGCGCGCGGCCCCCGCGGCCGAGGAGGCGGCGCCGGGAAGGAGGCAGCAGGTCCGGCGGCGTCCCGCAGGCCGCGCTAGGCACCCGCGGCCACACTTTCCCCGTCAGCGCTGCCCGAGTCTCCCTCTCCCCCGAGGCTGTGTTGGGGAGCCGAGGCGGTCAGCTGGCGCGGAGAGAGCAGCGCGAGGACTCCGGTCCCACTGCGCGCCTTGCTGGGGGCCAGGGGTCTCGCGGCAGACCCGGGGTCCCCGAGGTGACTCCAGGTCCTGCGTGCACCTGCGGGTTCTGCCCGGCTGTGTGCGGGCTCCCGGAGCGCGGGTGTGGGGTGTGCGTACGTGTGCTTCCCCGAGCGCGGCGGCCGTGCCGACCCGCCGAAGTTGCGGGCGAGACCGGTCCCGGGCGCCGGCAACAGGGCGTTTCTGCGGGCGCCTGTGCGGGGTGTGTGAGTGGCTCAGAGCCGCACGCTTCGGGCCCGTGTGTGCGCGCGCGCGTGTGTCCCAGACTAAGTGAAGGGCGGGGACCGGTGCTGTCTGAAGGCGATGCGGCGTGGGGACTGCCCCGCGGCACCCAGACGCGGACGGGGCTGACGCCAGTTTTTCCCCCGCGGCTGAGACGAGATAGGAGACGGCCCGAGCTTCCGGCCCCCGGCTCGGGGGGAAAAGGGGCTGGAGGCCATGGGACTGCGGAGACAGAGTGGGGAGCCCCTGCCCACTTTATTCCCCGCACCCCACTTGGCGGACCAGAAGTGACTCGGAAAGCAGGGCGGGAAGGTGTTACGAGCCACTGTTCATTTTGGGGGAGTGCGTGCGTGGACGGGGAGGACATTCCAAGTAAAAAGGGTGCGGGGCAAGACGTAATTGGGGGGCGCAGGCCAGTCAAGGAGCAGTGCGAACTGCGTGAGGGTTTGCCTGCGCGGGGAGCCGCGGGCCGGGGTCTCCGACCGGACCACGGCCCGCCCGCGGCACCTTCTCTGGTTGGGCCCTTCCTGGGCCCCGGACCGTCTTACCGGGACTCGGGGCTCGCCGCGGGACGGAGAGCGTGGCGGGCGGCAGGGGGCGCTCGCGCCACGGGAAGCTCGCGGCCGCGCCCTGCGAGTCGGACCCGGGCAGTCGGGCTGACCCGGAGCCTGGACCCGGAGCCGCCTGCGCCTCGGAGAGCGGCGCCTCTTCGGGCCGGGCTGGAGCGGGAGCAACCGGTCGCCGAGAAGGGGGGCGACCTCTCAGCCGGAGACAAACAGGCAATTAATTCCGGAGCTAAGTCCCATCTGCCGGGCCGGTGACAACAGGTCCCCCGCGCATCCCCCCGGGCCCGCCGCGCCGCCGCCTCCGGCCTCCTGGGCGCGCAGCGCGCACACCCACTTTCCTGCACACGCGAGGCTGCCCCGTACGCGTGCCCCTCGCAGACTCGCCGAGAAGCAGGCTCGGATGCAGGCGCTGCACGTTCCGAGGTGCACCCCGCGGCGACGAGCACCTACGTGCGATTGTTGGACCCTAAGGGTGGCCCGCGACCCGCGGAGCGCGCGGGATTTGCGGGAAAAAGCGCGGGGGAGTCGGGGTCGGGGTTCAGCTCCTTCCTCGTCCTCCCTAGCTGTGTGACCTTGGGTAAGACCTTTCTCTCTGCCGCCTCAGTGTCCCCGCGCGTAAAGTAAGGCGCGGGTTGGTGCGTCCCGGGGGATGCGCGGACCCCACTGTCCCGGGAGAGGAGCAGGGAAGCGCATGCGCGCCAGTGCACCGGCTATCTCCCGGAGGCCCTCCGGCGCCCCTCCCTCCGGCTGGGACTCGCCTAACAGGTTGGGGTCCTGGGAGTGGGAGGGGCCGCGCGTCGAGGAGGACCCCCTCCCCCACGCGCAGCCGGGCGCCGGGCTTGGGCGGGGCGGGCCGGCCTTCCCGGAGCCCGGCTCCCCCGGCCCCGCCCCCGGAGCCCCGCCCCCACCCTGCCCCGCCCTCGCCTCCCTGGCACTCCCGCCGCCGCCGGCGCCGCGCGCTCTCCCGCACTCGCTGGCGCCGCCAACTTCGGAGCGGCCGGCCCGACCATGGGGGCTCCCCCGGGCCGGATCACGTAGCCGCGGCGACCCCGGAGAGCCCGCGCCGCCCGAAGCGCCCGCGCGGCCCTTCCCGCGCGCAGGCCATGGGCGGCCGCGGCTCCCCCCTGTGCGCGGCAGCACCCGCGGTACGCGCGGCCCGGCCCGGAGAGGGAGGAGGCGGCGGGCGCCCCGAGCCGGAGTCCCGGACGCCGAGGATGCTCGCTCGCGGGGTGCAATGCGCCCCCTGGGGGCCGCGCCTGGAGCGGAGCGGGGGGTGGGGCGCCGGGCCTCCTGCTGGGAGGGACCCCGATCCCGACCTCGCGGCTGCGCGGGGAGGGTGGGCGGCAGGCTGGAGGCCCGCACTCCGAACTTTGCCGAGTGCCGCACTCTGCGTCCGTCCCGCAGTGCAGTCCGCGGTGCTGGGTCCCGGGGCGGTGCTCCTCGGGGGCCCAGGCTCACGTCCCCTTCTGCCCCCACCCCCGCAGGTGGCCGAGGGTGGCCCGGCCCGCGAGCCGCTGCAGCTGCTGGAGGTGTCCTCCCGCAAGAGGCTGCCCAACGGGCCCGAGCAGGACCCATGCGGCAGCCGCCCTGCGCCCGAGGGCGCCGGTGCGGGCGCCGAGCAGGGTCACTCGGCGGGCGGAGGCGGCTGGTGCCGCCACTGCCACACGAAGCTCGCCGAGCTCAAGCGACAGGCGTGGAAGCTGGTCAGCGGGCCCGGGACGCCCCTCCGGGTAAGTGGACCTTCCTCGGACCGTCTTCTCCCGGGCTGCCATTTGGGAGACCCAGGGTCCCGGAGGGAGGCGACGTTCCACCGAGCGTTTTTCGGCTGGTTCTTCTGCTCCCTGGGCCTCGGTTTCCCCTTCTGTGACGCGCTGTGCTTGAGTTGCAGCAGTTCTAAGAGGCTCCGCGGTGGGGTCGGGGGGTGGCTGGGCGGCGTTTCTCCCCGGAGCCACAGATGTCCCACAGCTGGAATCCCAGTCTGTGTCTGGAGGGGGAAGAGAGAGGGGGATGGCGTGGACTCCACCCTGGGCGGGACGGCTCCTGCCCTGCCAGCAGCAAGAGGTTACTCCGCGCGTTGTTGCCCTTGGGGCTCCTGGGCCCCCAGCCAGGTGTCTGGAAATTGCACACCTGGGGCCAGAGGGCTTGGAGGACCAGAGTGGGGGCCTGCCACTGTGAGGGGGGCCCTGCCTTCCCCCTTACCATGGGTCATGAATAAGAATTGTATGTGGGATATAGCCTGGGGCTTTGCCATCTTAGGCAGCGGCCACCTATTTGGGAACGGAGCGGCTGGGCCCCAACAGCCTAGGTGTTTGCCTGTGAAGGGGGCTCTGCCAGATTCTCCAGCCAATGGGTTTGCCCTGGTCTTGGAAGGAGCTGGGACCATTGTTCAAGGAACAATGAGCCCTGGAAGTTTGCAAAGCCTGGGAAGGTGGGGGTCTCCAGAGGAAGCCCTTCCCACCGGACCTTCAGTCGTTGAAAGCCTTTTTGGGAAGTCTGCATAATCCCCATTGAAGCTAAATATAGTTCTCCCAGCCGGCCCCGGGGGATGGGGCGAGAGCCGGGGTTCCAGGGGGTCCCACGGTGTTCCTGTCTTGGGCAGGGGCGGGGAAGGGAGGCGAGTCTGGTTTCTATGGCCTGGAGGGGGGACCTGCGGCTTGCCCTGGGTGGGGGAGGGGGCTGCACCCTCCAGATCTGCTGTTCCGAGTGGGGGGCAGCCTTTCCAAGCTCTGTGCTCCCAGATGGCCTGAATCTGGTTGAAAGGCAGCAGAGGACCTGCAGGCTCCCAT